CATGCTTTAGAAAGGCGACGTGATGTTCCACGTTATGATATTGCATCTTCCGGGTTTATACATGACTGCACATAAGCAGTGCTACAAAAATTAATCATGACAATCATGTCCATCGCATGTACGGGTTACAAAAAAAAAGAGTCACGAGTAATGAAGACTAAATACATCTCCATCCTCTAGGTTCGTTCTGCTTCAAACATAGATTTAAAGATCATATATATATTTATACATACACATCATCAAGAGCGCGTTCAGGAGACCCCTCCCTCTCCCTCCTCTTTCTTTTTGGTTTCTTTGTCGGAATGGCTTGGTTAAGGTGATCTGTTCCAGGGCAGCTATCACTTAATATTTGAGAAGCGTAAGGGTTGTGGTCAGATATAGTCATGATAATATACTAGCCTTAGTTTGGCTGCTGCGTCCTGATAACCTCTTAAAAACCCCGAGAGATACAAACTATGCTTAAAACATGGGGAGAGTCTTCCAGTATCTTACACTAGGCAAAAGCATCAATTGAAACATAGGTATCAGAGCAGCCTACTGTAGCCCACAATACATGATTTTAGTAGTGAGTGCTGCAAATTGATCTTGTGTTGGAAATATTCTATCACTGATAAGAGACTCATAGAGAGCTCTGGCTACGTATGGAGGTGGCCGGAAGAGTTACAGTTGCAGTCCTCCTCTCCTCTTCCTGCTGCATCTCTCCCAACTTTTGCTCTTCATTCACTCTCCTCCCTCAGATCATGTTTCACACTCAAAGGCAGACTCGAATGGGTAATTGAAACAGTTCTTACTTCGCGGGTAGGAGGTTAGAAGTTTGCAGATTATGATATGTATAGATAGAACATCAGTAGAAGGTGCTAGTGTAATATCTCCTAACGCCTCCCTCCTGCTGCTATGGGAAATCAAATCCAACTGATCATAGCCCTACTAACGCATTACGCGACATACACGCCCCAAATTAGACGATGACTTCGTAGCCGGTGATATTAAACTTTGATCCTTCTTCTTCCTCTGTGCGCTCGATCTCACTGAGTTGCGCCCATAGTTCTGGGTATTTCTCCTTGGCCCATTTCTCCACCTCATCTCTCCAGTATTGATATGGAACTGCGTTGTAGAGGAGGCCAATGCTAGAAATTACGTCAGCAATGAAACTAACTACAAAGGAAGACATCAGGACTTACGAGTTATAATTCGGTAGGTACCCTGTTTCACTGTGCATCTTGTCTATAGCCTCTATAGCAAGGTCAAATTCACATTGCGCAGCGAGAGCTTCGACAAATGCCATGTACAGCCGCCGATCTACTTCGATTTCGAGAAGTTTGACCTTTTCCATCATCTTCATTGCCTCCTGTGTGCCATTGTGGTGCTTTCCGCATAATTTGAAGAAGATAGCAATTGTCTTATGCGTGGGACCCTCTTCCGACTGAAGGATTTGGCGGAACACCTCCATACTTTTCTCGGGCATGTCACAAGCTGCGTAAGCAAGCATTAGCCCATTTAGCAACTTGATGTTGAGGTCAACTTCAACGTCTAATTTGAGCATGTTGTGAACAAGCACCAGATGTTCTGCATCACGCGTTCGAGCTATCCACCGGAAGCATTTGGTATAGGTGTCTGGCTTTGGACGCCGAGCAAAGTTTTCCGCCTGCCGCATATGCCCGAACACTAGGTAGGCTAGGTCACTCCGGTTTCTTTTGTAGAATGCTGTCATGATGTCGGTTCGCGTGCTTACGCTTGCTTCGGGGAACGCCAGCTGCAATAACCCGTACACCTCCCATGCATCTGCGCCATCTTGGTTAAGGTCCAAGATATAGTCAGTGAGCGCTTTACGTATCTTCGATCTTCCCTCGTCATCATATAATGCCAGGCGCGGTCGAAGGAGTTCCGATGCCCCTTCCCAGTCACGACGGTAGAGCAACATATGCGTTAGTGCCGCGAGCGTCTCAGGCTCTAACCGAACATTATTCTCGAACAATGGGTCAAGAAAGGATGACACCTGATCGAATATGGCATCCCCCTGGCCCGACAAACAAAGCATTGTTATCAACTTATTCATCAGCGAGATAGACATATTTTCAAGAGCCATTTCGTTGACGCCATGCAAGCCCTCAACATGGACTAACGTTCTTTCCACGTCACCGGCTTGTATATAAGATTCGAGTTCCAATAAACGCGACTGGGAGTTGGGCTGCAGACCCCAACGCGGGATCAAAGCAGCATACTCAGCAGTCAATTGAGGTTTGTTGGTGAAATTGGCATACGCCATCAAGTTGTTCACACATTCAATTGTGAGCGATGCTTTGGCTTCTGGACTATTTTGAATTAAAATTCTAACCTTTTCCACGAGTGCAGACGCATCTTGTCCATGGGCTGCTTCCCAAAGCAATGTGATATTCATGGTCTCCGTAATTGGCCTTTGCGAAAGTGACTCGAAGATAGGCCTGGCCCACGCTGTTTCTGAACGCAGAATTGCATACTCGATAACGGCTTCTTTCGTAGCTAGGGTAGGCTCCCATCCATCAAACAAAGGGCACTCGTACATTATCTTCACTGCAGCCAGGAGATCTTGTCCAATGAGGACTTTGAGCAACTCTTCGTGGGAGGTAGGGTCAAATTTTATGCCAAAGTCGTGAAGGTCCTCGGTTGTCCGTCTGAGAAGACGCCTATCTTCATTTATGGCAAACCCCTTCATGACCGTAAGCCAAGGGGAGGGATTGGTCTTGGAAAGCCTATTCCAGAACTTCTCAACGATATGTCTTGCTCCTTCTGGATTGCCATTCAAAGCCTGAATATTAATATAGGCAACAAGCGCGGGTCGACCTATATGGTTGGGACCAAACCCATGGTCCGCACAAAGTTCCAGAAATACGTAGCGAGCTAATCTTTGGATTACTTCGCGGCATTCTGGCAGGCATCTTGCTTGGGACAGAACGAATAGCACGTTCTCTAGGTTCTCAGTAGAGAAGATCAATTTCCAATTTTCGGGCTCCAGATCACCCTCATTAGCTCGCAAGTGCTTCCAAGTCACGATGAGCAAACGGGCCTGAAAGCCCGTAATGACTCCCGGAATGTCCGCTCGTGCAGCAAAGAAATCCTGAAAGGCCTTCGCAAGAACACTCACTGCAGGCCCCCTGCTTTTGTCACGTATTGCTCTCATCAGATCGCTCATTGGTTTTAGGCCAGCCTCCGATGGCAGAGTCGCAGGTTGGGGAGAGATAGATGGTCCCATATTGAATGCGAAAAACCCACGTCGCTGGAAGTGATACGTGCTGGTGACGACTGGCCCTCGGGATCGGTACGTTCGGAGATTATGTAGTAGTCGATTACGGCATTGTGAGGAAGACAGCGGCTCGTTGTCCAGTATTGCACGGAAAACCCTTCTACTGAGGTGAGATTGCATGTTTGTAGTATAGAATGAAGCTATGAAGAAAAAGTGTTAATAGAATAAGCCTCTATTCCTCAAATAGGAACACTATCATTGGAAGTTTTGAGAAATTAAATCAATCCAATTTGCAGCATGCTTCAAAAGTACCCAAGTATTGAGAACGAACATACAATGGGTAACAGGGAGAGCATTGGAAGTATAGAAGAAAGAATGTGAACTGGAGTTCTAGAGTTGCCGCGGAGGTGTCCTGCGGCTCTTGGCGCGCCGAAAAGATATTAAATTCAATGCGCTCCACTCTGCGACTCCCCCAACCCAACCCATCCACCATTGAATGCTTGCAAGCTGTTATTGACGCTCCTCAATTGCTTTGATAGAACTGAGGTCGCCACCCGGCTCTCAAATATGACTGGTCGTCTCTTGTCTTGGTCGTCTCCATTGCGCACCTTCGGGTCGACCATGAGCTCTATGGTTGCAGGTCGGTGGAATTCGACTCTCGCCACAGATGCCGCTGCTTATCAGCGTGCTGCCAGTGCTAATCAAAGTATGTGAATATCCAAACAATGCAGCCGCCCGTGTTTCCTGCAGAGTCGAGTACTTCTCAAGACATTACTTCGACCGGCACTAACTGTCCCGAAAATAGGACCAAGAGTATTCAGCCGTCGTCGTGTACCAAACCGCCAAAAGTTCATCGAAGACCAGAAGACCCAAGGAGAAAGTCGAATCTTAGAGAAATACCAAACTCGTGATTGGCGAGCAGGCGATATTTACACACCTCATGATCTCAGTGCTGCCGAGATGAAGAAGTGGAGGAAGCGCTATAGCCCAGCCACAGATGCTTTTGATTCTTTGAACATGAACCCGCTAGACTTGTACAAGGTATGTGCGGTTATGAAATGAACGATTACTATTATTGTATTTTTTCCTTGGCTCGGGCATTCTCAGTGATTTTTAACTTCTTTTGTGTTAACGCAGAACTTCTCGATCATGTCCGAGTATATCACCCCGATGGGACGTATAAAGCATAGAAATACAACTGGTCTACGACCTGTCAACCAACGGAAAATTGCAAAGGCTATCCGAAGGGCTATTGGTCTTGGTCTGATGCCTAGTGTCCATAGACATCCAGAGATTCTGGCGGCGGAACTGAAGGCGAAGGTAGATGGAAGCAGCATATTCTGAAGCAACTGAGGCCACACGAACAGGGAACTTGTATGCAGGATATATGGAGAACTGCTTATACCTTTCTTGAATTCCTGCGGCTTCAAATCTCGATGTCGGGCACCTTCGGAGCCAGACACTGTACTTCTATATTCAAACATAGTCATCACTGAAAATTGGGATTGCACATGTAATTTATCCGCCAGAAATTTTATTGATTGAATAGTTACTATCTCCGGAATATCTACTATTACTGTACAAGGTTCTAATAATGAGGGTTGCCTGGACATAAGACAGGAACGAGTTGTCCCGTCCGTGGCTCACATTCCCCACCGATAAATACGTCAACCGGAGGAGACATCTATGGCTGTCAACATCGCTCGCGCTCCCCTTTACCTTCTGCTAATTCCGGATTTCTCCCTTCCTTTCACTGCTGATATTGTCTGTTGGTACAGCCATGTCAATTACGAACGGTCAAGACCTTACTTACCCTTTTCCATGCGATCCTGGATAACTAACACTTTTCAGATTTCATCTGGGCGGCCAGCCCTTCTACCACCAGGGGCCAACCCACCCACCTCTCGTCGGATGCCAAAGGCGAACGGCTTGCTTATGCGGTAAATACAAGACAACCTATCGTTCTTTTAAAGAGATATCGGAAGATCTTGACTAACGGGAAGTGAGGCCTAAGGCCAATAAATCCATATTCTTGCGTTCAATCGACAACCCCGCCATCGCGACGCAGTACACCGAACATAAGGCTCAGACTACAGTCGCACGGTTTTCACCGTCTGGATTCTACGTCGCTAGCGGTGATGCAACTGGATTAGTTCGAGTCTGGGACTGCGTCGGCGAAGGGCATACGAAGGGTGAATACAGTATTGTCAATGGTAGGATCAATGATCTCGCATGGGATGGGGATTCCCAGCGTATAATCGCGGTTGGTGAGGGGAAACAACGATATGGCCACTGCATTACTTGGGATAGTGGAAATACCGTCGGGGAAATTTATGGCCACACCCAACAGATTAACTCCGTTTCGATTAGGCAACAACGACCTCTGCGAGCTGCTGCTGCTGGTGATGACAAGAATTTAGTCTTCTACCATGGAGCGCCTTTCAAGTTCAACACGGGTATCCGTGACAAACACACTAATTATATTTATGGCGTCGGCTTCAGTCCAGATGGCTCAGCGTTGGTTAGCGTTGGTGCTGACCGGAGGATCTGGCTTTATGATGGCAAGACGGGAGAGTCAAGGGGCCAGATTGGGGAAGGTGAGCATAAGGGTAGTATTTTCAGTGTTTCATGGTCCAAGGACTCTCGGAAGTTCGTAACTGCGAGTGCCGATAAGACCGTCAAGGTATGGGATGTGGAAGCCGGTAAAGTTTCACAAACATGGAACATTGGAGGAGAGGGAAGTACAGATATCAAAGACCAGCAGGTCGGCGTGGTTTGGCCCCCGGGCAGAAGTGACAATCTGCTTATCAGTTTGTCACTGGGTGGCAATCTGAATTATCTCGCTGAAGGTACTCCTGAGCCTAGACAGGTCATCCAAGGCCACCAGAAAAACATTACATCCTTGACACAGTCCCACTCCAGTAGCGACAATGGCACATTGTGGACTGGAAGTTTCGACGGCAGAGTCTGCAGCTGGGACGTGCCCACTGGAACTGCGGAGGAGGTGGACGGCGAAAGTCACTTGACGTATATTGCAGGCCTTGCGCCGATAGAGGAAGGCAATGGTAGAATCTACAGCGTGGCCTGGGATGACACCATCAGATCTGTGGACGTTGGGGCTAAAACATACAACGGAAGCTCTTCCAAGCTATCTGGACAGCCTAAGGGTATCGCTGCAGCTGAAGCGGTATTGGTAGGGACCTCGGAGAGTGTTGAGATTTACAAAGACGGCCAGAAGATTGGCGACTTCAAGTCAAAGTTTACCATAACTGCTGTGGCAGCATATGGAAGCACTGCAGCCATCGGCAGCGATGATTCAACTGTTCAAATTTGCGAAATCTCGGGCGCTACTTTGATTCCTAAGACGGATATTAAAGCTTCTCGGAATCCCGTGTCCGCATTGGCTTTCTCGCCGAACGGTTCCCTGCTGGCTGTTGGTGATTCACGCGGTCGCGTTCTTGTTTACAACGTCGCCGATGCCAGTCTAGTCACAGACCGTTGGACGGCACATACTTCGCGGATCACTTCCATTGCATGGAACGAAGACGGTACACACGTTGTGAGCGGAGCGTTGGACACCAATATATTCGTGTGGAACTTGGCCAAACCTGGAGAGTGGCTTCAAGTTACTAATGCTCACAAAGAAGGTGTCAACGGTGTAGCCTGGGTGTCGGGGTCGAAGATTGCATCGGCTGGTGCGGATGCAGCAGTCAAGTTGTGGAAAGTGGAAGGTTTGGAATAGAGTAAAGTGAAATGGACTTGGGACAGCAGCGATCATGATATACGTATGTGTGAGAGGAACGTTATCTCTGTGCTGCCTCTTCCTTATTTCACTATCTTTCCCCTCGGATTTCGAAGTGTACATACATACAATGAAGTACAGTATTTACAGTTAGGTATTAGGATATTGTAGCTGCTTTTAGCAGTAGTATCGCCTAAGTATGCGTGTTCCTAATTCACTTAGGCCGTGGTGATAAGATGGCGGGTGATCAACAGCGGATAGAACAAGCGACGATCGTCATAGCCACTGTGTACATCAAGCGCCCGCAAGCTCCGGTTTGACAACACTTGGAGTCTCCTGCGCGCCTCCAGGAAGGCAAGAAAAGAAAAACAAAATGAGATCATAAAATGTCTCTGTCTGAGGACGCGTCGAGTAGTTCCCGTCGCTTTTTGCGACCGAAGAAGGTACCATGGCAAGATCTCTGGTTGAAGGTGTTCAAGAAAAAGAGAAAGAGGACGAGCCACCGTTGCTAACCACAAATTTGATACGAAGCTGCGGCAGGCGACGTTTGTCCTACCTAAAACCGGTCAACGCTTGAGAGGTCTAGTTACTCTACGAAGCCCTCATCCCGAATCGAATGGCCACGATGACGAAGAACGCCGCGGGCTACTCTCCGGACAATATTCCGTGGGCCGGGAAGGGATACCTTTACGCTTATGGAGAAAGGTGCGAAAAACAGAACTTTGGATACATCGAGTTATTTCTACTGAGCTAGGAATCGGTGTCCTGAAATGCAGCCTAGCCTACTTATTGGGATCGCTTGCAACTTTCGTGCCAGCGATCGCTTCGTGGCTAGGCCATCAAGATGGCAAGCATGTTGTGGCCACCGTTACAGTCTACTTCCACCCAGCAAGGTCTCAAGGGAGCATGTACAAGGCATCAATTTGTGCCTTCCTAGCGTTTCTCTACGCTGCTTTCATCTCTTTGACAAGCATGTGTGTCTCTAGGTTCTTTCAGGACACCCTTGACTTACTCCCACTGGGCCATGCTGTAGTTCTCATAGTCTTCTGTGGAGGTGGTTTAGGATTTATTGGATGGACAAAGCAAAGACTGGGCGACCCCCTTGTGAACGTCGCCTGTTCCCTTGCTTCGCTGTCGTCCATTACCGTCTTGACAAAAGAAGGCTCAGTACAGAATGGGAATTTGTCGTTCGCTAAAATTTTTCAGGTTTTGAAAATGGTCGTGATGGGTGTAGCTGCGGCCATGGCTGTGTCATTTATGATATTTCCAATATCTGCACGGAAAAAGCTACGGTCAAACCTCACCACTGTCACCGAGACGCTAGCAACGATGCTAGCCTTGATTACTGAGAGCTTCCTCACTGGATCTGAAGAGGAGCTTCAGACTGAAGAATACCTAAGTGCAGCTGCGCGCCATAAGCAAGCATACAGTCAGCTTGACAAACTATTAAGAGAAGCGAAATTGGAGCATTTTGTTGCAGGTACAGAGAGACAGTACAGGCTGGAGAAAAAACTTGTACGCTGGGTACAAGACATCACTCATAACATGGGCGGCTTGCGCAGTGCGGCTCTCCTGCAGTTTCAGCTGCTAAAGCAAACCAAACTTGCCAGGCCAATGCAGTACAATAGCGAAGCAGAGATTATAAATGGGATTCATCGAGAATCTTTACCTAGTCCATGGTCAGTACATGAGGAGCGACCAAGTTTGGAGCCGATAGATGAGAGGCCGGAAGAAGAGGTCTCGGATTCAGGAAGAGACAGGCCGAATTCAAGTCCGGAAAGAGAGATTTCTGATTCAGAAACTGATCACGTTCTTCTTCCTGCGGATATTTTCGCACTATTTATCGGTCATTTAGGGCCTTCGATGGTAACGAGGCACCCAATAACCACTACATGTTGGTAGATACTAATCATTAATAGCGATCGCTTGCATTCACTTTAAAAGAAATCTTCAAGGAGATTCCTTTCAAGCCTGCACCGGATTACAGAGTCGCAATCAATAGTAGGTTCCGCACCAGTCTTGACCGGGCACTTGATCTCTATCGAGGATCCCGAGAAGAGGCGTTGAAGACTATATATCGACAGAAGGATGTCTTAGACATCCAGACCTTGGAAGTCGAAGCGGATCTTGAGGAAGTTGCTGCCAGCTGCGGCCATTTTAGTTTTTCGCTTCTGGAATTCGGTGAACAGCTAAAGGAGCTGCTAGCAATCCTTGATGAGTTGCAACTTGAAGCTGAGGAGAGGCCTAGTGGTAGATCCTGGAACTGGCTGAGGTTTTGGTCTCGACGAAATGCTTGGGTAAGAGCAAAAGATACTGGTATGCTGTCTCAGCTGACATGGGCCTAAACGGTTAAAATTATGCTGACTGGCATCCAGAGCGGCCATTGGTTGAAGCAGGTTTCGTACAAGGTGGTGTTGAGCCTCAATTGGTGGTCGGTAACACTGAGCCACACAGTAAAACATCGTTATCAACCCTCCTTCCGGGAAACATGTCGGGGGAAAAAAGCTTTGGTTATCGTATCTGGAAGTCACTCAAGATCTTTCGACGGGATGATACCAAGTTTGCTATCAAAGTAGGTACAGGTGCGGCACTCTATGCTTTGCCATCATTTCTCCCGTCCACAAGACCATTTTACTCTCATTGGAGAGGCGAGTGGGGTCTTTTGTCGTACATGCTAGTTTGTTCGATGACCATCGGTTCTTCAAACACCACCGGCTATGCCCGTTTTTTGGGTACCAGCTTAGGGGCACTCTGCGCCGTCATTTCGTGGTTCGTGACTGGTGGGAACGTGTTTGGCCTCGCATCTCTGGGGCTATTCATGGCTACGTGGACGTCGTATCTCATAATTGTCAAAGGGCAAGGTCCGATGGGCCGCTTCATCATGCTTACATACAACCTCTCGGTGTTGTACGCGTACTCCCTGAGCCAGAAGGAAGGGAACGATGACCAGGACGAAGGGGGCGAAAGTCCGATTATAACTGAGATTGCTCTTCATCGTGTTGCATCTGTTCTGTCTGGCTGTATCTGGGGTATTATCATCACACGAGTGATTTGGCCTATCAGCGCGAGGAAAAGATTGAAAGATGGTCTAAGCCTCTTATGGCTTCGAATGAGTCTACTCTGGAAACGCGGCCCGCTGTCTACCATGACTAGTAACACGGATAACTCAGTTTTCATGAGCCCAAGGGAGAAACTGGAGATTGAACGATTCCTTTCGCACTTGGAATCTCTTCAGGCGTCCGCCCGCTCCGAGTTTGAGCTGAAACGCCCATTCCCTGATTTGGCATACAGTAACATTCTCTGCCGCACAAGGAGTATGGTAGACGCTTTTCTTGCGATCAATATTGAGCTTGATAAAAATATGACAGCGTCCGAAGGCGAGCTTAGTATTCTCCAATATACCGATAAGGAAAGGCAGCAATTGTCGTCGCGCATCAGCCATCTATTGTCAGGTGAGTGTAGGGGATTGTAGGGGATTAACCAGAAAGGGCAATTCTAACCGCAAGTATAGTAATGGCCTCGTCTATGAAACTCGAGTACCCGCTGAGCGACGTCCTTCCTAGCATTGAACATGCCCGAGACCGGCTTCTTGCCCGCCTTTTCCGCTATCGCAAGGATCATGAAGCATCGCGCCTGTCTACGGACGAGGACTATGCGTTATTGTATGCTTACAGTAAGTCGAGGCTATACAGCGATTCGTGTTTTAAATCCCATATTGTTGCACGATATGGCGTGAACTGTTCATACAATATTGACTAATTCATCTTTAGTTTTAGTTACTGGTCAATTGTCGACAGAGATCGAGGGAATAATGGCGGAAATCAGCTGCTTGTTTGGAGTACTCGACGAAGACATTGTGAAGCTATATGATTAGGCTCTTTTCCCCCCTCTAAATCGACTGCGTTCCTTTAGATAACGAAGCGCATGTAAACATATGTAATAATCTCTAAATATACAGGATCGATAAACATTACGAAACAAAAGTAGTCCTTTCTTGTAGTCTTTGTATTGCTTCATTCACTAGGATACTCCAGTGACTTTTGTAACTCATTTTTTGGCGGGGAAGAAGAAATCCAACCCAAGCATTTTATCAACTTCAACCTCCTTCCATCACTTCGCTCATCGACCCACTGCCCTTCCGATCGCGATCCCTTCGTTCCTCGCATGCTTTCGTCTTCTACTAATATCAAACTGTCTTTCGGGTTTCTCTGGATGTATTCTGCTTCATGAAGGCCTAGTTCTCCCCGCCATCCCGGCTTCGCGCAGCCCGTCGCGCTTCTGCGAGCCTCTCAACCATGCAGATCGATCCGGCCGCTCTGAGTCGGACTGAGTCTACATCGACCGCAATAACTCCCTCAAAAAATGCGACCCCTAGCACTTCAACGACTTCGAAGTCTACTAAAGCCCTGATATCTGTCCCGCGACTGGATCTTGAGCCTATCTATACAGAACTGAAAGCCGCTATCGGCGACAGCTGGCCTGAGTACAAGGAGACCACTACTCTCTTCCTTCTAGGTACGAACGCATAGCAGAAATTGGCCCAGTCCTTCCAGTCCTTCTTCTTCTTCTTCTTTTTTTTTTTACTTTTACTTTTCCTTATCCATTTCCTTTTTGTTCTTCTTCAAGATATGTTTACTTTCTGAAGGATGAGCTAACGTCGCTCTTCTCTATCATAGGACAATTGAACCAGAATGAACTCTCGTCTCGCGTTGATCATATAATTTGCGCCGACCAGAAAACTGAACACCTCCATAATAATTTCATATGCGCAATTATTGGGAACCTCACAAGGGACCTTCCGGATCATGGAGTTGCAAGTTGGGTGTCGGCGAACGACAAACCGTCGGTGGTCTCGAAGCCGACATCAGGGGATGCAGCGGAGCAGAGGCTAAAGACGGAGGTCATGCAGCTTCCTCCTAGAGATCGTCGGCGAATAAAAGCAATTCCTGAGGTACGATTACAACGTTATAGCCGACCATTAGAGTGCGTAATCCATTCTGACAATGGTCTCGATCAGCATGACCCCGTTGAGACTACACCGAACGGGTTAGAGGAATATCATTTGGCGAAACAAATAAAGCTGCCCAGCCAAGTACCGGCAAGTGCAGGCGGCCTGAATAAAACAAGTAGGTGTAATAAATTTAATGTCTCACTTATGGGTCTAGGGATGCTTACCACACTGCTTGGCGGTAGATTGGGAGTTGGAGATTCGAAAACGCTATGCACAACCTTTGGCATCAGAGACTGGTGAATTCCCAGATGCTGAATCCATTCATGCTCGTATGATCCCTATATGCTACGAAGAGTCAATTGTTAGTGGCGCAGGGCTACCCTGCGCTGAGTTTATGGCCATTGCAACGGAAACTTTTGTGAAGGAAGTTTTATCTGTCGTATTCTCTCGGACGAGGTCTAACGGACCATCCGGCACTATTAATGGTATGATGATGCGCAAGTATCGCCAGCAGCTTGAACGGGAAGAATTAGCTTTTACACGCGGGGAGATTGTGAAAGATGGTGCGACAGGCTTGCTACCTGTCGAAGCTAAAGAAGCAAGCGTTAGAAAGCCCCTCGGGGTCAGAGACCTCCGTTTGGCTTTAGAGCTTGGTGGGGGAGTTCTCAGTCATATGCCACTGATTGTGGATCAAATAATGGGCGGCTACCTTGAGGATGAGCTTGAAACAGACAAGCAAGACCGAGCTGACGATGTGGCGGAGATTCCCAAGGATAGTATGAAGTTGAACAATTCGACGGAGATAATGGAGGTTGATGATGATGGGGATGTTGTATGGGAAGGTGCCACGATGGCAGACCGAGAACAGCTGGGGTCTTTACTGGACGAGTGCTTGTCCATGGCCTGTTGATCCTTCCCCTCCCTCTTTTTCCCTTGCTTTCTTTCCATCATGATATTCATTATAATTTCGGACCTCCTCTTCCTCTTTGATTTCCCCTTCCTTTTGGTGTTCTCTTTGACTTATTGTAAGTATACGGTCCTATGCGACCAAAGCAGTGGCATTTCGACCAGGGTCCAAAGGCGTACTTGGAGTGTGAAGGGAATTTGTTTTTGGTGTGACATTATCTACTTTGATTTGGCACGGAGTTCAAGCGTCCGATTCGTCTTCTATCCTTCTTCGGTCTCCTTGAGCCTCTTTCCCTTTACAACTTGGCGCGCTTGAGGACCTGGGTTCCCATGAGTCTTCCTTGAGAACTCGACCATGGTAGTTCTCGAGTGCGACGCGCATGGTATGTGCTTCAAAGAGTCGCCACAGAGTCCAATTTATGGGTAGATATCTCGTCTACGATGATTCATAACAGAAACGAAAAGAAAAGAATGAAGGTTTCTGAATGTGCGGCAAACTCGTTCGATACCCACTCCTCGGTTTACTATTTCTTTTCCTTTCTTTGCCGTATATCTGAACGGCGGTTGAGACCTATATATACTTTGAGAGCCATGAAGGCAATTGGCATACTACGCACACACTGTTCCTAGCTTGCTTTTGTTTACTCTATACACTATTCCCCCTTTGTTCCATCTCACCGCTATATTTGTTGTCACAATGAATTATGGGGTGCCAGAGACGTGTTAACGTTGATCTTACCAGGCCTATCTTTACTGTTTCCTCGTATCAGAATTTATTTACTCATATTCTTAATCCTAAGGCTCACTGGTACAGTCTCTCATTTCTCCACCAACCCCAAAACTTTACAACCTTGAAGTATATAGATTATAAGCCAATTTTGGACAAAACTATGCGGTGTTGATTACTTACACAAGTCGCTCGGCAACCATTTTCAAAATCTCTTCGGTCGACTTGTGCGCGTTAGCAGGATCTTTAGCCACCGATTGCCAGACTTCGCCATGTTTGGGCTCTGTAGAGATGCACTTCGATACCACATCTGCCCGCTTCTCCTCTGTTCCGTGTTGCAATAGGAACTTGTAATACCAAGCCCAGCCGTCCCCTAGGTCGCTGTCGGACACAATGGCCTTCTCAAACCATGTCATTGCTTTCTCCAGCCGACGCTCCCCCCAGAAAATCCGCGCCACTGTAATGAATAATATCGGGTCATTATCGACCTTCTTGATAGCCTCCAAACTGCGAGCCTTCCGTTGTGCCCGCGGTTCGAGATGCCAGATACTCTCACTCCATAACAATCCAGATGTTGGCACTTCCTGCAATGCCTTTGCCATCAAGATCTTGGCTTGGGCGATATTGTTTGCACGCCGTTCAACTCGAACGCTTTCTGTCCACAATTCAGCACTCTTGGGAACAGCAAGCCGAGCTCTGTCAAGAACAGAGCGGGCCTTGACGACAGCACCAGCCTTTTCTTCCAGTCTTGAAGCCAACAGCCACAATGGAACAGATCTGGAACACGCACGAGTACCTGTTCCATATGCCTCCCGGGCTTGCGGGTACTTATTCTGGGATTCATAGATTTGACCCTTCATCATCCAAAGCTTGTCCGCCTTTGGGTATAGTTGGAGGCCCTGGTTTACTAAATCTAGCGCCTCATCTGCATTACCCAGCTGTCGCTCAAAGGCGACACTTTTCACCCAAACGCGATCTGTTCCGGCTTCCCGACGAGCAGTCGCAAGGAGCTCTCTAGCCTGCTCTGTTTGCCGGGCGTCGGCCTCGAGCTTAACAGCAGCAAGCCAAATATCCTCATTATTGGGATTCTGGTTAAAGGCGCGACCCAGCACTCGTCTGGCCTCGTCGATTTCTCCAGTTTGCCATTTCTCTTTCGCAAGGAGCAACCATAGCTCTTCACTCTGTGGGCAAGCTTCCACAGCTTTCTCGAGGACCTGCCATAACGCTTCTTTCGTACCATGGTTACGTTCAAGGTCTGCGGCTGCAAGCCAAATAGATCTGCGGTTGACAAACACGCGCAACGCATAGGCATAAATGGCTCTCGCAGTCTCGTACCTGCCCCTGGCAATACTGGATTTTGCATCATCCATCCAAATGTCTTTCCTATCATCGTCTTCATCCAGACCCCATCCTAAAGTCTCGCGGATAATCGCCCCGCAAGTGAGAATAGCTCCCTCCTCTTCGCAATTCTCGGCTTCTGCTATCCACTCCTCCCTCTTAAGCATAGCATTCTCTCTAGCGAGGGACTGTACAGCTCTCTTCATCACATTCACCTTATTAAAAGTCCCCATTTGCTCCTGGAGTCGTGAAGCAGCAATCCATATCTCGTAGCTCGTAGGGACAGCTTTTCTAGCAGCGTTCAAGACCTTTTGGGCGTTCTCAGGTGTCTCGAGGCGGGCAAGGGCAAGCCATAGCTCCACCGACAATGGTATCATTTCAACTGCCTTTGCGAGAAGTAGACGGGCATCTGCAGGGTCTTCTTCCAAGTTGACAGCTTCTTTCCAAATGACAACTGATTGAGGAATGTGGAGAATGGCCTGTCTAAGAACGTTTTTCTTTGCACGAGGCTCAGATTCCAACCTCATAGCTTCAATCCAGAGTCTTGTGGAGCGATCATTATTCTGAATAGCATTTGCAGCGATTACCTTCGCGTTATGATCTTCATTGAGCCGAATATTCTCAAGCCACGCATCTTCACTTTTTGGGCATAGCTCACATCCCTTGGCGATGCAGTTTCTAGCAGCCACAATTCTACCAGCCAGTTCCTCCAGACGAGCAAGTGCAATCCACCCAGGTGCGTGCTTTGGATTAGTCCTCGTCACAGATTCTAGCAAAACGCGAACTCTTTTTATATCGCCTATCTCCACTTCGCCAGCTTTTAGCTCGGACTGAGTGAGACTCGTGAGATAACCCTTTGGATCAATGCTAGTGGCACTTCCAGATGCCGAATCCCCAGATGAACTTATAGCTGCTTGGTCAAGCTTGACTTTAAGGGCCTTGTCACGAGCAGCACTGATATCCGCAAAATTTGTTATTGTCCCGTCCACTCCTTCCCCCTGAATGTCGGTATGAGCGCCGTCATCCGTAATGGTGGTCTCGAACTGGGTGGAGTCTCTTGCACTGGCGAGGACACTATCCGGTACTGCGTAAAAGCGTTGCCGGAGGTTCTGTTTAGCTCGTCTATTCTTGCCTGTAAGATCTCCAACTTCGGGGAGGTTGGCCCAGTCGTCTTCGGAGACGGAGGCTAATGAGCGCTTTAGATCGGCGAACTGCTGTTGAATTTTCGGGTTTTTCCGTTCGTAGTCTTCTCGTTCTTGAAGTTCCCGGATTTCCCTACAGTTGGCGAAGGAATCAAGTCGGTCTTCTATCCAGACAACCGGGGATGAACCCGATGAACAAATTGCACCATCAAAGAGGTGAACGGGGAGTGAGGGGAAGGGAGAGTACCAACCTTCTTGCTTTCCGGCGCTTGTCCATCCTCTCATCTACTTCTCTGTATATCCGGTCTGCTTCGTCATCTTCTTGATCGAACTGTCCGTATGCGAAAAGCCCAACTTCATTGTCTGGATCCTGAAAACGTTCATCGTCCTCCTCTTCCTCGGCCTTATCTTCTTTGCCACCCTTCTCACGTCCTGCGCCATATGCTGTCGGAGGGGCTGCACCAAGCAGTTGTGCCCTCTTTTCGAGCGCTGCTTGAATCTGCTCTGGCGTGGGACCTTCACGCGCAGGCCCTAGGTCCGAACGAGTAGTGAAGCCAGTTGCACCTCTACCTAGGCCGGCAACATAATTTTCGGGGGCCGGCTGGCTCAAAAAGTCCTTCCTCCCGGAAGCCATCTTGACCAGAGATACGGAGCAAGACTGGGCAACTTTTAAGTTTAAAAATACCAAGATTCCGAGGTAGCAGGAAGTTGTTTTTCATGCTTCAAAGAGGCAATGAACGCAAGAACATTATCCCGCTCCCGTATCTATCTTATCGCAGTATCCTAACCAAACGTAGTTAGATCCTTACCCTACATTATCCAGCACTTCAGAGATGAGCCCTACTAGAATGACCTACCACTACGTACTACTTTAAGGCTCCTCGAACACCAGTGGGATTCACAGGACGTACCTAGGGGCAGGGCTATGTTCTTGCAATATTCCAAGCTCAATTCGTTTGATAGGTCGGCATTATATTATCCACGTTGCGTAGTACCCCTAGAGCGTCCTATGTCTAAACAGTGCTTCCTTTGCGCGCCTGATTGCTTAGCTGCACTGACAGGATCTCATACACCAACGTCTCGCCAACTGAACAACTCTACAGACCAATCATCGTATTTTAAATTCTGCACCTTGGCTTTTGCCCAACACAAAGCCTGTCGTTAAGCTATGGAGTAGACGCCTTCAATGTGCAAATATGAGTTATGGTAGATCACCTGCTGACGACGCGCATGAATTCTCAAGCGGCCTCCCTCTCCCAGTCAACCCGAATGTTTTTCCATCTTGTTCCCAAAACTCCAATTATCGCCAACCGACCATGACCCAGAGTTGGCCTATTGAAAAATTTGGTTTGCAAGAGAAAAGCGAAACAAACAACCCAACTTCCTCCTCCTCCACCCCCCATATAGCCTTTCCGGAAATCCCAAGTGGCCGATCTAGTAGAAACTAATGGCGGGGCATGATATAGAGCATGAGAATAATACCCCCCTCTAGGGTGGGCCCTCTGCAGATCATGAGGTAGACACACAATGAATGTACGCAACACCGGGATGGTGAAAAAGCGGAGCCGACAGGACCACCGGGCTTGGTGGAAGCGGAAATGCACTTTCTTTCCTCCCCTTTTCCTTTTTTCCTTCTCCCACACACCCCCACTCTTCTCTTTACCACGCGCGCATACTGACGATAGAAATGCGTGAGGATGCCGGAAGCAGCAGATGTCGACAGAATTTCACGGGCTTCGCAAAGGAATGTACAAGCATATGCGACGGGTACCGCTTTTGGAAGATGTTGTGGGTTTTCCTCTACAAGGGCTTCCTATTCAGTTTGCATTTATGCCCAAGGGGAAGAACCTGAACTGGCTTCCTTTGTTCACAAGCTAGGGGGTGTATGCCTATTACAGCTCGACTTCTTCACTGCAACCCATTATCGGGGGAGGGGTCACCAGTGGAACGAAGATGAGCCCGAGAGTCTTGAAACAGGCTTTGCCAAATGAATGCTTCACTCAACAGGAGTTCAATATCTTGCTCGGTCCAGTCTTTGGTTGGGAGGGCTTGCAGAAACATCATGACTTCCTATTCTCATTCAGCACTGGCCACCGCATTAATGGTCAATACACTTACCTGGAAATCCATCTTCACCAATTGGTCCGACCATTTGACTAGAAAGGCTGCACACACATAGAGGTGAAATCGTGAAAAGCCCTGCTCCTCGGCCTTGAACGCAAAGTTAGCACATTTCACCTATATGCAAAATTAGGGTAGCGAACCATGTATGTATCCCACATGCGTATGGTGTTCTGGACGCTCATTTCACGCATGAGCAAGCAGTTCATCCATCGGAAACTAAATTGCATAAATTCAACACCTTCATTCTCCAAATGTTTCGCGAGGGTAGCATCAATGCGCATAGTTAAGTCGCGCAATGCTTTAACTTGCCGGTGTATACCGGGCTGAGCATATATATAATTGTCTTGAATGCCGTCAAGAAGCTTCGTAAGACACCAGAATGTATCCGCTTCGACAGCATCCAGCACGCTCCGGGGCAATTGACCTGGATCCATCCCTTCTTCTACATTAAGGTCCGTAACATAGACACCTAGGAAAACTTGCCAAAATGGCGTGGCGAGGTCATTGATCCCTTGCACATAGCCGCTGGCTGGGTGTCGAATGGCCCAAACATAGAGAATCCTTTCTAGCGAGCGTTGAGTAGCCTCATAGCCATAGAGCTGGATATGTGGACAAGTACGAGGGACATCTATACTGATCTGATGCCATATTGCCTCGTCCAGCCCTCTGCCGCGCCCTGTTGTCGAAACAGGAGGGTTCCCAGCACCTGTGGTACTGCCGCGCTCGAAAGCCTGGCGAACGCCATCTAGATACTCCTTACGCTTCCTTTCGAGGGTCGAAATACGTCGTTCGCAATTCGTAGGAAGATAGCCCAGGAGAAGTTGCCAGGTCATCGCCCGTACTTCATCGGGGACCCCTGACCATGCCAAGTTTCTTAATTCTGCTAAAGGAACCGTGCTTGTCTGCAAAAGGCGTTTGAACTTGTTGATTCTCGAAATGCGACTCGAGTATTGGTCCATTTCTTTCGGAGTTGCACTCTTGGGGGGTGGAGCATGGTTGATAAGATTCAAAGCGTTTGCAGGATCTAGTGAGGATTAGCCACCTGCAAGCTTCGGCAGCTTAAATTGCACCCGTTACCTCTTAAAATATCTTTATACTGAGGCCGAAGTATTTTCCCTTCCCCCTTTCTAGCTGTTGGGTACATAGGAACACCCCGTTCCTCTGCAATATCCGAGCTGTTGGCACGCTGTCTACTGTTCCCTAAACCAACACTAAGGGCCGAGGCACTGCCTCCAATTCGACCGCCTGGGTCAACACTCCTGGATGGAAGAGGGTCGACATTCTGCTTCTGCTTCTTCCGCATGCTAGTAATGCTGGGAAGCCCAAACTCATCCTCATCATCATCATAGACAATATCTTCATCTTCCTCGTCTTCTTCTTCGTCTTCCATTTGACTGCGACCCCATGAATCGACTCCTTGGTTCATAACACCGGTGTACGATCTACGAGAAGAGGCAGACCATGATGCAGGCTGATGGGAGGATGGCGAGAAGTGTTGAGGATTGGTAGACGACGATCGGGGCGGTGTCCGAGGGCGCGCATGCTGTTGCGATATACCTCTGCCAAACGCACTAAGTTAGTCCAATGTATTTTGAGGAGCTTCTAAAAATTATGACATATGGGCGAACAAAGCTCACTTCAAGATGTTTGCGTGGGAATATGAAGAGCCAACAACAGTACTTTGATCATTGGATTTGGGGGGGGCGTGATTCTGGGAAACTGATCTTCCCTTCCAGAAGGGCGAACCCGTTCTCCTTCGAAGAGGGATTAGCAAGAAATGGGGAGCAGAAGAGAGAGAGAAAAGTGTGTAACTAATTGAACAGAAATATCTCGCACTAGTAGGGCTGCACATACCCAGACCGGCCTAATAAGTTGAGAGCGGGGAGCTATATCAGCAGCTAGAACGAGGTGAAACATGGGGCCATGAGGTACGAACCAACCTGGACCATCTCCTATACCAGTGAGATAAGTAGTTCAGGTTAGCTCTGTCTCGCATTGGTTTGAGGAGTATTTCTAGACACACTTACCTGCGGCTGGGACTTTCTAGTAGCCATTGCGTGACGCCACTGGTGTGCGGAGGGTCATTCAGAATGGGGGGAAAGTAAGGAAAGTAGGGGGGAAGGAAATTAAGACAGAGGTTAGTTGCGGGGTGCTTTGCGGCACCATGATGCTGTTTTAAGCCTTAGTAGTGTAAGTACTCCGTAGTAGACTAGCCAAGCCAAGACGAATTAACAAATTGTGATGGTAGAGAGTAGCTAGATATTGACTCATTCTTTGTATTGATCCCTAAAGCAATTCATAGTATGTACAATAGCTAGCTTTCTTCCTTTCTTTCTTTCTTAGTAAAACGAAACCAAAAGAAAGAAAAATAAATAAAAATTGTTCGTGAAGAAGCAATCAAAAACTGATTTTAAATGCTAGTACGTCGTAGTACTAGTCTGTACTCCGTACTTAACCTATGTATGCGTATGTATGGGGGAAATTTTAATACCTAAATAGGTGAAATGGAATGAAATTTATTACGGATCTCAGGTTCGCGCGGTCAGCGGCTAACTTAAACTGACTAACTCTCTGTCTCTTTCTCTCTCCTCATGCTAACCTCCGACGTAAACCACACACACCTCTTCCTTCCTTCCTTCCGCTCTACTGTCTCTCACCCTTCTTCTGCCAAACTTTCCAATTCACCTTATATGAATTCCTCTCCTCACTTCTGATAGCTAGTTAGTAGTGAGAAGGAATCTCACTTCATCCCCACCAAACTAAAGTCGCAGGATTCTATTCCATCCCTAATCGAACTGTTTCAATCGACTTCATTCTAGTGCAGCCATTCGGCCCTTCGCTTACGTTGCTTTTTAGTACTAACTCACCATGACCGAACCAGAGGATGTTGAAGAAGACCTGTTTGCAGATCTGTATGGCGCTTCAGTTTACCGGAATTCATCTTACCAGAACTTGTCTAATGTCTTGATAGGTACGATGCGGATGAGGCCGCGAACCAACCAATTTCAACCGTTGAAGCTCCGATTACCTCGGAGCCTACAGCTTCGGTCCTCCCGACTCAGTCGGCTGGCCTTCCTACAACACATGTCTCCGAAGCCCCTCATATCGAAACGGAAGACATCCGCGGTGTACACCAACAACTTCTACAGGATGGAGTTCACCAACATGGCACAGGCAATTTAGACTCTGGATTCGCCAGTACTACCACTCCTATGTCGGGGGAAACAGAGCACCACGGAACCGGGATTAAAGAAGATGGGTAAGTAATAGCTTCTTTTGCTAGGGATGTTTTGAAGTTTTTATATGCTTGTTGGGGATTGGAACGACCGCTCGAATTGGCTTGGTCATCCTACTAGCGTCACACGATTTCCCTTTGTTAATATCTGGCCATTTGGGAGCGATGGCATATTGGAGGGCCCACAATGCCCTTTTCTTTTTATTTATTGTCACTTTACCGCTCTGTATAAGGATGAGCTCGTGTGAGCTGGTGAAGGCGATGGTGGCTATGCTGATATCTGGGTGGGCTTCTACACATGTGACTGCTTGGTACAGTGGAGAAAGTGATGAAATCCTTCGGCCTGCATCCAGGTCTTTCTCCAATGGAAAACCAAACATACTTGCTAGAGAAAACAAGGTTATGGCCAATCTTCGATAGAGAGTCTTTAGACCCTCGTCAGGCTTAGCTATGGAGAGCAATTTGGTGGGGACAAATTCTACCTCTGGCATCTTGAGGGACAAAGTGGGAATATATGTCAACGGCACAACGTCGATGTGACAATTGCGGAAAGACAAACTTCGAACCCCTGTCTCTACGAGCCATTGTCGCGAGCGACTATAGTACAGCCGATGCTATATAGCTTCTTGTCGAGATATCTTGATAGTGCAGAGAGGAGAACAGAACAAGAGTAGGTGCCTTGGCTTTGGGGTTACGAACAGTTTACCTAGCTTCGGACTATTAGACAGGCAGAGTTCCTTGGTCAGAGAAGAGAAAGAGAGAAAGAGAAACAATTGACTTATTCCGCCTGAGATGCTTCAGCTTGTGGTCTTTGTTTTCACCACCGCATACCTCCCGGACCTGAGGAATTGTCTTCCGTTTGACCTTCAGTCCACTGGATCGTTTAGTAAACCAGTGGATTATTGACTAGAGGTTGATTGTCACCATGAGCCTTCCAGCCAGTCGCAGCCCCCGTCGGTGTATATGCATGTCACAGACTGACGAACCATCCTGAAGCGACCATGAAAAAAAGAAGCAAGAAGAAAAAGGAGAGAGAAAGAGACAAAACAAAAAAAATTACTCCCCTACACATTTCTTGCAATGGTTTTCTCCGTTTCTCAACTCAAATTAGTGCCTGTCAATATGGTATCGATTCTCAGTTCATAAGCTCTTACATCGCAATAGCCGTCTATCAACAATGCTGTCCTTGTTCTCAGGGGGCACAGAGCGCCAGCCTGGCACCAGCCAATATTGAAGCCTTACTTGCCTTTTTCTTCTTGTTTATTCATTTTGTTCTTCTCTCATCTCCTATGGCTTTTCTATTTATCTATCTCTTTTACTGTTAGTAACTGAGACCGAGACACTCATACTAATAATGCCTGCGTTAAATAGGAAGATGTTTATTGGCGGTCTCAACTGGGAAACAACTGACCGTATGTACCTCCAAGATCCGTTGGTAGCCATCCAAGCACAGCTGTCAGCAATCTAACTTGGCGATTAGAATCCCTAAAGGACTACTTTTCTCAGTTCGGAGAGGTACAGGAATGCACTGTGATGCGAGACAGCGCTACAGGTCGCTCTAGGGGGTTTGGTTTCTTAACTTTTAGGGACCCTAAGACCGTCAATACTGTCATGGTCAAGGAGCATTACTTGGATGGAAAAATCGTGAGTCATGCATCTCATATCCTTTCAATTTTTGAAACAAAGCATAAGCTTATATGGTTTCAAGATCGATCCGAAGCGTGCAATACCTCGTGACGAACAAGAAAAGACAAGCAAAATCTTCGTTGGTGGCGTCAGCCAAGAAGCTAACGAGCAAGACTTCAAACAATTTTTCATGCAATTCGGTCGTGTGGTCGATGCTACTTTGATGATCGATAAGGACACTGGTCGGCCTCGTGGCTTTGGCTTTGTGACGTTTGACAGCGAGGCTGCTGTTGAAGCAGCACTCTCACGTCCTTTAGAGATACTCGGTAAACCTATTGAGGTCAAGAAGGCCCAACCACGCGGTAATTTGCGGGACGAAGAGGATCGCAGGAACCGCCGTGGTAGAGACGGTTTCCGTGAGGGAGCTCAAATTGGTAGCGATGGTTCTCAACAACAAGGCTCTCAAGGGCCGGCCGGCATGCCCGGTGGCTTGACTCCACAGATGATGGCGCAGTATTGGCAACGGATGCAGCAATATTTTGCTTTGATGCAGCAACAGATGGCTGTTGCCGCTCAGGGTCAAGGCATGGGCGCAATGGGTATGGGTGGAATGAACCCAGCTATGATGCAACAAATGCAGATGAAGCAGATGCAACAGATGCAAATGGGCAGTAATCAACAACAGGGAAGCATGAGTCCTCCATCACAGAGTCAGACGCCTCAAATGCAGAATATGATGAATCCCGCCATTATGCAGCAGATGCAGCAGATGCAAAATCAAGGTCAAGGAGGACAGATGGGGAATGCTATGAACATGGGGAGCACTAGTCCTGGAAACGTGAACATGAGTGGAAATTATTCAGGACCTCGGGGAGGCCCAGGCTACAACGCCCATGAGCAGATTGCCTTTGAACAACAGAAATATGAACAGCAGCAGGCTCGTCGGGCCATGGAAAACCGGGCGTTCTCTCCCTATCAACAGGGCGGTCCAACTTCCTGGGAAGGTATGTACGATGAAGTGCCCCAGCCCAACATCCCCACGGGACCGCAAGCCATGAATCGAGCTGGCAGTATGGGACGTGGTATGTATTTGGTAGAATTCGAATCGTCTGCTTGTTAAATACCCCTTTGTCATCTGACTGCTAACTCTGTTTCAGGACCGACGCCGCAGCCTCAGAGTGCCGCACCAGCCAACGCTCCAACTGGGCCCAAAAATGCTGGAAAACCTGGAGCCAATTACCGAGGTGGGGGTCGTGGAGGTCATCGTGGCTTTCATCCCTATGCTCGTGGCTAAACTGATGCGCTTCTTCTACTCGGATGTTGTCATTCTGGCCTTCTTTGTATGAGCTGAATCCTTTCGGCAGCAACTTCTCAGTTACCTAATCTTCTTTTCAAATTTTTGCTTTTGTAAGTTACGGCACACCATGATGCCGTGTGTTGAGCTAAGGGTCTCACGAAATTGGTGATGTGTTCAATGTATTTATTCAATGATGCTGCTCTTGTCTCCTTCATCAAAATGCTGCCGACTACATGCTTAATCCTTCCCCAGGAAAGGAAAAGAAGATGAGAGGGGGGGGAACGAAAGAATGGAACGGAAGACAGGTAAAGAGACATAACAAGCGTACGGCCGTCGCTGTCATCGAGATATGGAGGACATTGGTATCATGATGTATTGCCTATCCCATTTGTGCTAGTTTGTGGACAGCCAATATGCAATTGGGATTAGAGACAAATGAAAAGACTAGCATAGAAGGGAGGCTATAGTTCAGCGAACCGTGAAACTATAGGGCTCACTTGTTACTAAAATTACCATAAATTTCACCTCACTACAATGCACCATTGGCATGTTAACGCAACAGTTGGATGGGGTGCCAGCTACAGGATCTCTCTGTTTGAGGTTCACATTAAATCCTTCGTCCGTGTCCTAATATAAGGAGGCCCAGCTATTTTATCCTCTAGAAGATCACCAGAGATATATCATATCTAATGCAATGTTATTATCTTAGGCGCGGGAGGCTGTCTTATAAGGGAGAGTAATGTGCAAGTATTGGTTGGTTATGACAGATTGTGAGGCTGATATCGACACGTATTCAAGCATATATATATATATGCGAAAATTGGGTTGGGGGGGTGCAAAACATGGTACATACAGTGGAGACAGGAGTAATATCAAATCCGCTAAATTCAGTTGTCTGGCAAGAATAGTTTTCTATGGACACAGGGAAATGGTTAAGAGTAGAATAAGAAATACTGCAGAAGGCAATGTACCATGAATTACTTCCATGATATAATGGCTCAATAGGCGAAGCCATAACCAGGAGCGGTAGGCTTACGACCATCCGGGGAACCACGACTGTCACGGGTATGCCGGCTTTCTCGACTAAGACTTCGACCATGTTGACTTTCATGATAGCCAGGAGGATCCACCAAACGGTCTGTGCTTCCTGTAGGGCTTGATCGTGACTTTGGATCGTAGTGGTCCCGATAGGGTTCGTAGGGGCCAGTGAAGTTAAACTTGCTCATCTCTGTGTACTCTTTGCGGGGTGGATTCTCCATAAGGAGCGACTCCCGCGCATCCAAAGGAGTCAAATCGTCGATATCACGGTTCATTTTTTCTGAGTAGAACGCCGGTTGTTAGCATACCGAATAGCCCAAAAAGCTCATTCAACTTACTGGCTTCTCTTCTCCGTTTCGCATGGGGGTTTTCTCGAACACAAAGAATGATGGCGTTAGCAGCAATTAGGATGGCCAAGATGCCTGTGAGGCCAGACTGCACAACGATAAGGACAATACCCGTCACAGTCTTAGTAGTCTGCGAAAGACCAAGTTCCTCAACAAAGATCAACACGCAAGCAACAGATAATACACGGACCACCTGAATGCTGATATTAATCCACTGGCTCGACTTTGCAACATATGGCCGGTACCATAGCAAAAGTGCTAGCATGAGAGCTTCAACAATGAGTTGACCCGCGGACTGAACGAGGCCATGACCATTGCCCGCCGCGATGATTACACCCTTAACAAACATGTACACGATCGCAGGAACAAAAAGCCACCAGTAATCCTTCTTGTAGTTGTCGTAAAAAAGGCTGTACTTCCGCCAGGTCTCTTTATCCTCGTACAAGCCAGAGGCGTCGCCTTGAGACGCCTTATATTTACGAGCCACATACCAGATTCGGAGACCAAAAAAGATCAGGATACCAGTAAATATGACAAGCGTGACAACGGCCAATACTTTCGCGGCCCACGAATCACCACCGGTGAGCTGGTAGACGCAATATAAGACCCAAATCCCATAGAGAAGAAGAATCAGGTTGGTAATAGTCCTGGCCAACAAGCCCCAGTAATCCTTGCGAAAGTTCGTGAGCTTTGCAGGGAATGATCCATACAAAGCCCATAACTCAAGGATAACTTTAAGCAGTAGAATGCCCACCGTAATAGCAGCTATAACAATAGCAAATATCAGCAGGCATGTCATGAATATGTTCGCTTGAGGGATGGTAAGCTGCTCCGCCCAAGCCTCTATACCAGAGACAACCTTTTTGACTGTATCATCACTAGACTCTTCGCTAGATGTCGAATTCGCACTATAAGAAGTTGAAACATCACGTATACTCAAGTCGGCAGCGCCTACAATCAAATTGAACCCTCGCTTGACTTTAGAACTTGTGTCCGTCGACGATCCATTTGAAAACTCGAGTGTAGCATTGCGAAGGAAGTCGTAGCTGTTCTCCGTGAGGTTTCCGCCGGTCGACTTTCGGAAGTTATCGATAGACTGCTGCATTTGACCCCATGGGATTAAACCGGTGCTAAAGGCAAAATTTTTCGTGAAGCTGCGATACACTGCTGGGTAGTTGACACTGAGCATGCCGTTTGTAGCCATGCTATGGAACCATCCCATGACATCACCAAACCCCGGACTAGAAGAGGCTGCCCCGGGATGACCGGCAGCGCCTATGACAGACAGACCGCTCATTGCCAGAGCGGCACCTGCTACACCGGCGGCTGCATAAGTGACGCTTGGCATTTGTGCAGACTTTCCGTTCGACAACTGTGTTTCAATGCAAGCAATGTCGTGGACATCATCCTTGGACTTCAGCTCCAGTTTCACTTGCCCATCCAAGTCGGGTATAGCAAAGGCAATCGCGGGAATCTGGCTAGCAAACGACTCTGGAATTTGTTGCGAACCAGTCGCTTGAAAGACGCCGGAGGGGACTTTGTCGAGAAGAAACAAGTCAGTGTCATAGGCAGGAAAGTTTCCGCTGTAAAAAAACGTACCAGGACAAAGTTCCTCGACATGATTCTCCGAGCCACAAGGGTCGAATGATTTGCTATATATTTCATTTCCGTATGCATAAACCGACAGAGATGCGGTAACGTTCTGCTGTTTTTCATTTGTTCCGGCCACGTCGAAGACTACCACTCTCGTGGAACGTGTATAAGTGACGTCCAACTTTTGAACCTGTATTTCTGCGTCCGTCAAACAGGTTGAAATGCCATTTGTGCTAAGCGTGTCCGCTGCGAGGACATGCACGGGGGACAGCCCCAAGGCAATTAAGGTAAAATGTGATATAGGAACCCGCATTTCGGCAAGAACAATCGTTCTAAGACTCAAGTTCAAAGTGCCAACATTAAACGTGTTGTTCGGGTGTTGTTTCTCACAAGCACAGAATTCCAATTCAAGAGATAGGCGACCAAGACGAATTTTTGAAAGCGATTAAAATGATCAAAGGTGGTGCAAACTTCAAGCGATCGAGCTGATAGCAACCGGACCGGCCGAGAATCAGAAATGTCACAGGGTCAACCCGTGTAGAATAGAAACAATCGTATATAAAAATATTTCGAAGAAAGCAATCGCAACGTAAGAATAAAGAGCATCAAAGACGGGGAGAGAGGGATTGGAGAGAAGGAGGGGAAGGTCGAGCAAGAAAAGTTGAGAGGATTTCAAAAGAGAGGCATGCACAAGGCAAGCGTTAGGACCACTCAGTCCTCTCGCTCACTCGGTCTCTTGTAGCTCACCTTTCCTCGACCTCAAGAGACACGGCAGGGAAGAGAAGAGCTGTATAGACTATGAGGAGAAAGAGTAAAAGAAAATAGGTTAAAAGAAACAATAGCAGCTCGCGGATGGATCCCGAAAAAAAGGAGTCGTAAGGGAGCGTGTGAAGTGAATGAGAGGCAAAACAGACGGAAAGAGGCAAAAAGCAGCGCAAAATCAGCAGCACGATTTGTATGCCAAACGAGTGATGATGGAGAAGAAGAGTAGAAGGAGGGGAGGATATGCAAATCAATCAGTCGATCAGTGATAGAAGAGAAGCCATCTTCTTCAGGGTGTCTGGCTGATCGGTACTCCAGTACAGGTATACGCACAGTGCGGGCCAATCTCCCTCCCGAATAGCTGGTACCAGAACTCACTAGTAAGAAGTGGTACCCGTTACCTTACCGAGAATGCCTAATAATAATTAAAGGGACAGTATCAAGTGGTTAGTTCTTCGTCGTAGGGTTCGAGACTCTGACACCTTGCCCCTGAATTGTCTCAAGATCTGTCCCACCACGACCATTGATTGGCCCAGTGCCCGGCTCAGGAACGGCCCAAGAATGGCGCCGTCTGGAGCCGTCTAGACTCTAGACCTCTTTATGGGGCCACTGATATGGTGGTATCACAGTACTTCTTACCAAGGTAAATAAAGGTAATTTTACGTAGTACTGCTTCTGTATGTCAAATAGATTCCAACATTTCCAGCGTGCGCGTGCAGACTTTTCCTTTCTTTACTTTTGTATCTGAACGATCCATTTATAGCTATTTTCCAAATAACCTAGAACTTCACCCTCTACCATAATTCATGATACAACTACAGAGTACGGAGTACTATGGGATGGATTTGCTGCACATAATTTTATTTTTCATTCAAAATCATTAAAAGAGAAATGAGAGAGAAAAGCAAAGAGATTAGATCTTAAGATGATTTATACATTCTAGCCGTACCACTAGCTAGTTATTAAACAGGAGTCCTTGCAAACATTGAATGAAAAGACAGAGGGAAAAAAAAAAATTACATGAACCACGCACACACGGCAAACACCGTGCTGACTTGCCCGCCACTGACCACACGCCACAGGAGACTGGCTACGCCACAGTTAAGGTTACTGATGTCAATTATACCCGTATATAAGAACACTAGGAGCTTCTTTCTCTTTGTCCTTAAGGGGGTACAACTTTAGAGCAAGAGTTTGAATTGCCGCCGTTTCTCTTAATCCACTAGACTCGGCTAGATGGACATGATCTTTTTCAAAGAGGTAATTTCCATCTGTAATTCTTCATCATTACCGTCCCTCTCTCTTTCAGAAATGCATTAGAAGGGGATGCCGAACGGATCGAGTGGGGGTAAAGGCCTGGAGCCTGGAGCACCAAGCAATCAATCTGCGTCGGTGGGCTAGCATGTGTCAGATTAGCTTCTGAAGTCTGGATGCGTGCTACTACTCACTATGTAAGTACTCTGTACTGGATTGTACTCAACCCCCACCCGCTTACCGAGTGGTATCTCCCTGGGTGCTGTAAACACCTCGTGCCCCGTACTGAAATGTATACCACATACCACAGAGCACAAAGCTTGCTTACCTAACTAAACGAGTCTCTTTCCTCCCATGATAGAACGTCAGAGAATAACTTCCAGGTACCCTCACGCACAACCGATATACTGGACACTGTTGTTCACTACGTTTATTATCTGTCATCTCCAACCGAATCCTGCTCTTAGACAGTTCCGTCACCTGCACCTTCCAGCTCCCTGAATCTCACACAACATACGAGGCTATAAGGACACGAGCCAAAACACCATGTAGTTAGTGCCAAATCTTGGTATGAATGTTTGATGTATTGTCGACCAGATTCACTATTAACCCTAGAGAACCATTGATGAGGATGGTAGTACCCGCAATCTATCATTGAATATAACGGCCATAGAAAGTCCCACAAGAACAGATTTCCTAGGTACTACCTGTCACTTGCTCATTAATCTAGGAATAGGCATCTGCTTCCGGGGTTCAACCTCGCCGCTAAAAGAAACTGGTAGAGCCGGTTCTCAGCATTAGAGCTATGTCGCATTGTATACATTGCGGATATATATATGTAGTATCATACTCTCACCTAAAGGCAAGAGACTAGTGAACTAGTGCCTCTATTAGGTCTAAGCAGTACTTGATAGACAGCTATCACAGGTAAGTTAGTATGTCTACATACTAACCAACTAAATATGATAGTATGCAGCTATTTCGTCCTCCTAGATAGTATACGTCGATAAGGAGCACCTATGTAGGTATATTGAGCTCACTTCACAGTTAACTTAAAGTTCTGGCAGAACGCTAACTCGCATTGTCCTACTATTGTAACAACACTAGAAAGTGAGATACACTGTGTGGAAGAGTATTATAGCGTATACAGTTCATTCACGCAAGCAAGACCAACAATACTATTACACACGCTAGGTTTTCGATTCAAAGACAAAGGAGACAGTCGACACCCGCTCCGGCGACCTCAGCAAGCTCCCCCCATGAGCGTAACTGAACGGAAGGTGGTACCAACTTCCAAAGGGACTAAGGTGTCCAAATCATTCAACCTGGAACATGGCACATTATGGTCGATAGGTAACCGAAGGGCTTCCGTACCTGCGGTGGTTATCATGGCAAAAGAGCATGAGATAGAGAGCAACGGCGGTAATTAAACAAGCCTATCAGCCTGTTTGTCTCCATGGAATAGGGAAATGCGCCAAACAGAGATAACTTGAAGGACGGTGATGTCTCTGCTCAAGTGGGACACAGGGAGGTTCACCAATTAGATCTCGCCCAGGAAAATATTACACTGAAGTATATCCAGAGTGTAAGCTGGCGCTACAGGCGACAAGTATGTCACAGTAAGGATGAGATTATCCAAGATTCCAGATGAGTGGGGCGGGTAGGTTGTAATGCACATTCATTTACGTCCTTGCTTCTCTTGCATTTCCCGCATCGCAGCCCTAGCACTCCGGCTGCCTCCCAGCTTAGGACCCCGCGATGCCTCGGTTTTCACGGTCTTGGGGTTTTTCACTCGCGTTACCCGACGACGTGACTGAATGGCATCGAGGAAGTCTCTTCGGAACTGTTCGGCGACTCTGTCATCGGCAGCTTGGTCGTCTCCCGCTGCCGCTGTTTCATGTTCCGGTTCCTCATATACATCCACTACGAAAAATGTTATTTTCTTTGTTAGAGTCGGATCGTGTCTGAAGGGATTACAGGAAGGGTTGGAGTACTTACGTTTACTCTCACGTAAAACTTCTTCTACGAGTCGGTCTCTTTCCACATCCTCACTGGTTCGTCGTTTCTGACGACGCCATAGTCTCTCATCCATTCCCATAGGAGCTGCTGTGGAGAGAGAGCCGTCATGCTTGAGATGCTCATATTCATCGTCTCTTGCTAACTTTCTTGTCGCTGCCTCCGTCCGTGCGATATTCTGTAGCTTGGTCTCCTGGCCAAGATCAATCTCGTGGAGTTTACCTAAAGACGCCGGTTCACGTTGAGGATGGTCGGTTGGGGACGGCGCAGCACCAGATTCGCCCACCAAAGGACCATCTGAATCATCTGTCGGGACAGTGTGCTGGTGTCGCTTAGCCATTTCGGTCTCTATATAAGCCATCCTTATCTTGTTAGTTTCTATTACAGACAATACAAGCCTTAGAAGAGGATATGATGCTAGATCGTACATATGTTTGTCAACATCCACCGTCTGTCCAGTATGTGCTGTAAATCGGTCACACATAGCTTGGATTCTCTGCGCCTCGAGTTCCTCCGCTGATCCCGTAGATACGATAGCTTGCTTATCGTTGTTTGCCGACTGTGGAGAGGTAGTAGAAAATCCAATGCCACCCTTGCGAAAGCGATGAAGACGTCGTAGACGAACAGGATCAATAGGGTGCACAGTATCATTGTCTGCTTGGGATTGAGAGGGGGTGGCAGGATCTGAGTCACGGTCATCCCTTTGATTTTCATTGCGGAAATCTTCTAGTGTGTCCTCAGGGCGACGTCGCAAGAACTTTCTTCTCTTTACCGGTCGGAAGAGAGTCTCCGGGTTCGAGGTAGTATTAGTGTCCATCGTTGACTCCAAAGGAGATATGGCGTATGATATCTACCTAGGGAGAGAACAGACGAGCAGTCAAGTGGATAGAGGGGAGAATTTAAGTAAAATATGAGTCCTGCGCTATGAAAAGGTACGTACATGAGAGAGAAATCCGTAGCTTATTCGTAGCAATGGAGATAGGACCTAGTAATGACAGTAGCAGGACAGTGTGTAGGTGATGAAACACACCCGCCCAAGCCTTTTTAAGTTTGGTTCCCGCACACCCTCTATAAACCACCTCCATCACCACCCACGCTTTTAGCCTTGCTGATCACAGAGTTGCCTCGCTGGTCTTACCCAGAACTATTCCTCCCTCTCTAGTTGTCGCCTACGAACCGCTGGGCAATTTTCGCTACTGCTCGAATTGCGGTTCTTCTCCTTTTATTCCGCCATGAACCCATCCATTCCACCTTCGACTGCTGAATACGGTGGAGGTATGTCATCTCTTGAAAATGCATCGCGCAGTGAAGAGCTTTCCTATATGCATACTACCACATAGATCACATCATTTTCAGAGCAGAGCAGAAACTAACGGCTCGCTACGTGCAGATGAGGTTTCAGCTATAGTACTTGATCCTGGGTTTTCAACAACGCGCGCCGGCTTTGCAGGCGAAGACACACCAAAGTCCTTGATCCCAACATATTATGGGAAATACACCTCCGAGGGACAGGAAAGGTTGATTTTTAGTGATGACGTCTTTGTTACCCCGCGCCCTGGCTTGTCCGTTCATAACCCAATGGGTCGAGATGGAATTGTGGAGGATTGGGACATGGCAGAGAAAGTGTGGGAGTATTCTTTTACGTCGCGACTCACGGGCCCTAGACCGGGAAATCCATTCCAAAATGGATTGAACGATATTGCTGATGGAGAGCTTCCCACAGAAATGGAGGGAGTGGAAACTGAGGAGAAGCCTCTCGCGGACAGTCCGCTCTTGATGTCTGAGTGTGGCTGGAACCCTGCGAAAGCGCGTGAAAAGACCATGGAGATCGCTATGGAAAAATGGGGAACACCGGCTTTCTATTTGGCAAGGAACGGTGTTCTGGCAGCGTATGTACCTACCCTTCAACTTAAGCCGTCTGGCATACTCCGCTGCTGACGCTTTAGTCCTCCTTCAGCTTCGCATCTGGGAAAGCTTCCGCCCTTGTTGTTGACGTCGGTGCTTCCAATATCTCCGTAACCCCGGTGCACGATGGAATGATTTTAAAACGTGGAGTTCAGCATTCCCCTCTAGGCGGCGACTACATCTCATCACAAATCCGCGCTCTTCTTAAGACAAACACACCACAACCTATTACTATCACCCCTCATTACCTCATTTCCTCGAAAACTGCTGTCGACGCAGGTCAACCTTCGCAGGCAAAGTACAAGACTTTCCCACCTGAGAAGGCACCGGACGCTTCGTACCGCACCCTGATCGAGGAGCGAACCCTTTCCGAGTTTAAAGAGTGCGTGGTCCAGGTGTGGCCTGGGCCCAATAAGCTCTCCGCAACGGGCCCGAACGGAATCTCGAACGAGGAAGTGGCTAAAAGCAATCCTGGACGGCCATTTGAGTTTCCAGACGGTTACAACCAAGTATTCGGCCTTGATCGCTATAGAGTGGTGGAGTCCTTGTTCGATGCAAAAGCTGCGATCCCAGATCCAGAGTCGCCATTCCCCGCCCCAACGCAAGCTCAGACTGTGCCCGAGTTGATCAAGAACGCACTCAACGGGGTTGATGTTGACATCCGCCCGCATTTGTTAGCTAATGTTGTCGTAACGGGTGCATCCAGCTTACTCCATGGCTTCACCGACCGCCTCAACCAAGAACTTATGCAGACTTACCCGGGACCGCGGGTTAGGATCTCTGCTCCAGGCAACACGGCCGAGCGCAAATTCGGGTCTTGGATTGGCGGAAGCATCCTTGCTAGCTTGGGAACCTTCCATCAAATGTGGATTTCGAAGAAGGAATACGAAGAACATGGCCCGACTATCGTCGAGAAGCGCTGCAAGTAACCTTCAGGCTGTCCTGCTTTACCCATGTTATCCTGCTATGCCCGCACGAGATGTGGTTCGTTAGTTGGATTTTTGTAGTTTTGCGGTTTGATTTTCTTCTCTTCTCTGTTTTGATTTTGATTTAGTTTTTCTAGGCGCTCTTGTACTACTTTGATGGTTTGAGAAAAGAACTTTTCCCATAAGACTAGGCCTGAAAAGCAGCAGGACTTATCTCTTTATATTACATAGTTGGAGAAATAATGCCAAATAACTCAATGTACGGACTGCGTCATTCTAGGCTCTGAATATATATTGGCCCTTTTAGAAAAGAACAGCATATCATAGGTTGCCTTGACAGTGCAACGTTTTTAGTCGTGCTCAAATCGGCTAAGAGTGTAGGGCTCCCACTCATAAGTCTCCAAATAGCATCCCCTACCATCCGGTGGTTGACATGGGAGGTCAGCTGCTACATTGACAGTGATTCACACTCATGCAGCCTAATTATGGAGATGGTACAGATGGTAGAGCTGTTACGGTCGACTGCGTCTCTGCCTTTGCTATATCGTTATCGTGGTTATTGTTGACGCAACATCCTTCGTCTTCCCCCAGTGTCATATGGACCGAAACAACATGGATTCTAGGTTCAACATCACGTCTTGGTTTTAGCGAATATGTATTCCGTGATGGATGTTCCTGTAACCAGGACATTGATCTCTCAAGATCGCTTCTAAAAGGCTCCGTTTGAAGTTCTGCGGACGTCTCAAGCGTTGTTGATGTTGCACGAAATTTGCTGCAAGGCTCATCCTTCCTTCTCTGCGGAGGATGACGGACGGCGCTCTCTTTCTGAATTGTGCCCTCCCAAGAATCAATCACCCTATCTGACTTGAAATGATGCAAGAACTGGTTTAACATAGTTTCACGTTTCGCTGATGCTTGGGCAGTGTAGGTCCGAGTTCGCGGCGGCAAAGGTGGTGGCCCTACTATATCTTGCTGCTCATCCTGCTCGTCTTTCTTCAATGTCCAGAAGCCCTTCAACTGTTCCAAAGAAATGCTCCGGGACCTCAACCTCCTACAAGGGGCTGTAGCGGGTCGATATCCTTTTAATTCAGCATCTTCGCCTTCAACTTTCTTATTAGTAGGTATAGCCCTCGTGAATCTCCTACTCAGGCTCCTTTGAATCCTCGGCACAAGCCTGGTTGGACTAGAGCCATCTGTGACAACATTCACGCATTCCGCTCCATCTGAAATAGCGGTATTCCCTTCGTAGCTCTGAGGGCCATGCAATGCACGAAGATTTGGGGCGCTTTTTCGCGTGACTCTGAGGCGTTCAACCTGCTTAGATAGAGGTGCCTCAGGCCGTGCGTCTATTATATTTGTAAAAAACGGGTCACTGGGCAGTGGCTTTTCTGAGCTCGAGAGGCCTGGGAACATGGCGGATGCCCGCCTCTCGAAGAGTCGTTCTCTGATTGACCTGTCTCGGGGCGGCGCCATCGTAATCCGTGTCAAGGACACCTGCTCTTTGTCAGACATCTAAACGGCTGTGAGAAGGAAAAGTGGGAAAATGGTCAATCTTGTACTTACCGCCTCTTTTCTGCTCGCTACGCCTACACGCCTTTGCAATTCGGTGATCGCCAGACAGAGCTGAGACAATGCAGATTGTAGCGCCACCCCTCGACGGCGGAGTTTCGAAAAGGCTATATTCCAACCCTCTGTATTTGCTAGCATGGCTTTGTAGATGGCTAACAAGTTACTCGGCAGTGGTCCATGTTCTTCTTCAGACTGTCTCAGATATCGCCACAAAACCCCAATCGCCTCCTTTCCCTTTTGCATATCTTTCAGTGCGTCTTCAATGGCGGTAGTGAATCGCTCGATAGCATGTTCGATTTTTTGATTATAGTCAATCATGGTTAGGCGGAAGTTGCGGTCTTGCAGCATTCCATCAAAGACCACTAAATTCTGGAGGGGAAGATTAAGGTATTGAATTCGTGTGCGCACATCAACCTGAATTAAAAGGAAGTCCTCTGTAGACCTTCCAAGAAAGCCATCTAACTCATCCACATGACTTTGAAGGATTTTCAAAACTTCAAAGTCGGACTTAGCGAGCCTCTTAACTAGAAGATGGATACCGAAGGATATTTCAGCGATAAGCTTCCAAAACGGATGATACCTGATACCAGTCAGTCTGCACGTTGACCAGAAAATAGGGAATTGTGCTTTATGAGGGCGTGTTAACTGCTTGCCTTTCTCCGGACCTTTGGCGCCATTTTCGTCCGCACAATCGTTCATATTCGATGCTCTCTAGCAGATCTCTCCGCCGGGATTGTGCATCAAGCCAAACGAACCGTTCGCTTTCAGTGCTTTCGGTGGCTTCAACAATTGATTCTTCGAAAGGTCCTTGTAGTTGAGGAATTGGATGGATCGGTACTCGACTGATGTCGTTGCTATATTCTGACTTATGCTTTGCCCTTGTTTCTGCGTCGGTGGCGGGGGTCCGTTGCTGTTGAGATTTGGAAATGACAGCCATGAATGCTAGATTAGGGTCCAGCAGAGACTCCGTGAGCACGATTATTTGCCAAGCTCTTTAACCTTTCCAATCGTATGCTGGCGCGGGTGGGCTCCGGGGAAATGTGTGTATTTCTATCTGCACATGATACCACAGGCCGCACCCTGGGGCCACTTCTCTATTGAGTAATAAGCTGTATTCCCTACGTCAGGCTCACACGTTCAAACTCCAGAACGCCCGAGAAAGTGCTTTCATGGCCAGGAATAATGGCAAGGGCGGAGAGAAAGGAAGAGAGAGCAGAGTCCAGAGATTGTATGAGAACAACTTGGGTCACTGCGTGTGGTCCAAAGAAGTTGATCTATATATATATAAGCCCTGGTACTACACCTCGCCGGTTAGGAGCTGGGTGCAAATCAACTTTCTCCGCGAATTTCTCAGGCGTATGCAATGCGAGGTGTAACAAGCACAGTAAGTTGGATATTGAACTAATGCAAACTGAGAACATGTACTTCACTCGTGTAATGAAGTGGAAGATAACAAATCAAACGGCATGGGACAAGGTACTAATTGTGCCTTGAAATATTTGGAAATGAAAGAATGAAGGGGCACAAAGGAAAAATTAGATTAGATTAATCACAATGAATAGGTGGGGTTTAGTTAATGAAGAGAGGGTAGTAATGTGCTGCCAGCCTGCCAGCTGTTCCCACAGGGGGGCAAGAGGACGAGATCCCGTTCATTTCAGGGGAAGGACCCAATCATATGTCTTTGCGCAATGGCAATAATCCTTGGTGGGTCACGGGTATCTACTAGTACTACCTTTTATAGACTGCTATATATTTAGTTCTATAATGCCAGACTGGGAGACCCATGTAATGAACATGTACTCCGTACTCTTGAGTAGGATAAGCCGTAAAATGAGATGAGAACTTTTCTCTCCTTTTTTATCCTTGCTTTGCCTTGTGTTCATTTGCCAATGTGAAGAAACGCGTACTATTATTAAACACTTATTATTACCTTTGTTAGTCCCCATCATATCACCATCATCATCAGTCTATGAATCTCGCATCCGTTATATAGGTTCCACTGGCTAGAAGAGAGGTGATATGTTTAAGGCTTCGAGACATCGAGAGAGGAAGAGAAGATCGAACAATATCGGGTAGGTAGCGGTGACGAGAAGCATAAATGCATACCTATAGTATTACTACTAGTAGCAAATTCTGTTTAATTATCATATTGTTTTACCATGTATATAGGAACTTCAGTGATTAAAGTGGAGTTCGAAAAGGAAAATATATACATATATATAGAAATGAAAAAGACAATTTTGATCATATCATCGTAGTTTATGAATATTCAAAAATCCATGATAGTCCTTATATGTAGAATATCCACCATTCAAGCTCAAGATTGTCTCTCTAGGAATCATGAAGCACAATATCCAGTGGAAGTATGAATCGTCGGGACTCAGAGATAATCAAGTAGCCCTCTTTCTATTTCTGCTCCTGGGTTCCCGACTCCCTATCCTCAAGAAGTCTTAGTCAATTGCCGTTGACCCGCACCATGATTCGTATTTAAACTGGGTGAATTGCCGACCGGAAACAACGATAATGGACGCCCGGGAACTCCATGGACGGTGCATGGAGTACAGGTATTGAAATTAATTTACCAACAAGGGGCTTTATGGCCTCTTCGAAATATCTTTAAGGCAGTATAAGGCAAGTGAAGTTCGTATCGGGATAGGCAACCACCTATCGCTGGGAAACACTGAAACAGCAAGGGAAGCCTCAGACCCAGGCGCTAATGATGATCGGCATTGCCTCTGGTCCGAAAGTCTTTCCTGCGAATGAGAAATCGTAAAATCGTCCTTCCAGGAAGACTTCCTAAGAGTAACACTTTTGGTGCAGCCCTTTCCACATGCTTTCTCTATCAGTAACATCACGTTCTTGTATGCTGCTAGTCAGGGCAAGAAAACCGGGTCCCAGAAGTTTGTAGGTAACGACAAATCTAAGAAGTCACCAAAGAGCACGTCGATATCGGCGAAACCATCAGTCTCATAAACTTGCATGTTATTTTCTGGAGGGTCCAGTGACCCGTGAGTTGAGGACATTTGCTTGGTAGCAGACACGTCATTAAATAGATGGTCATCACTCTGATAAGATGAGAGTGGTAATACTGACGCAGCACTTTGTGCGTTTGTGGGGTTAATGAGCGTGTTGCTGGGCGTTGGCGACTGCCTGGGAGCTTGTCTGGGTTTGTGAGTACCAAGATTCAACCCATCAATCTGGTGTAGGGCTTTTCGCCCTAGCCGTGCCATTGCTTCTGCAGAACACCAGGAAATCCCTAAGGCTTCCAGAAGCGTACAGCAAGCTTCCAAAGCAGCTTTGGCCCGATCGAAATGGGTGATAAGCTTGCTCGAGCGGAACTGCTGATATGACACACCCATAGATAGTGTGAGCGCATATGGAACAATGGGAATTGGAGGGAGATCCTGGGAGCATTCGGTGGATATGATGGAGTGTATTCGAATAGCAGAAAGACCCTGCCGTATATACGAAGGTTTGGAGCCATCAGGGCGACCGGTTAATTTGCATCTACATGAAAGGATGGCAACGGCATGGTAAAAAAGCTCGAGGAAGCCTAATTTCTCATAACTTAGTGAGCAAGAAAAGAAATAGTAATACGCTGACCGAGAGGGCTAGGTTTGACGAAAAATAATACCCACCAAGAGTAGCAAAGTCCAGATCCTCGCGAACATCATCGCCCATAATTTCTTCGAAGGTTGGAAACCCGGCCTCCCACCCGACCGTATGATCCGAAGTTGGCCTATAGAATGAAATCACATGGGCCAGTAAATCGGAAATTGCAAACCAAGCATCAAATGCAGTCCTCGCATGGGAGGGTTTTAACCCGGGCTTCTCAATACCAATGTCACGGTCTGCGAGAAGAACAGGGCGACCGCCTATGCAAGCATGCATCTTGTCTAATGTCCACAAGCACCAAAAAAGGCCTGTTAATGAGTCCCCTGGTACTTGGCCAGGACGGTCAAGATGCAGGCCGACCGTCTGAGCTTGGTGAATCGCCTGACAAAGGTGCATGGAGGCCGCTTCTGCCCCTTCATAGCCCTCACAATGCAAGGACATCAGCGCTAAGGTGCGGATACGAGTAACTCGATCAGTTTCAAGCCCTTCATTGAGAGCGACTACTAGGCCCCTGTACAATTCAGAGCAGAACTGGCGTGGCGTCATGACGGGCCCACTTGTGGCCAACCGAAGCCAAGGATAGGCCGTTCGGTCTTTCGCAGCAACGAGGCATATAGCCCTCTCCAGAAACGCTGATGTCATTCCCCCAGAGTAGGCAAGAAGGAATGAACCCTTATCGACAAGTGGTAAAATATGGTTGACCCTGGAGAAATAAATGGGAATCAAGTGATCTCGGGTCGAAAGAGGGAGACGTTCACAAGTTTTCATGGCAGCTGCATACCGCTGGTGTAATAATTTTGCAACAGATTGTGGGCCGAGAGGTTCAGAAGGATCTCCTGGGGCAGCATTATCTACATCAGCGACTGTTCCTCCGCCTTCTGCATTGCTGTATGTAGCCGGTGAGCTGATCCAGAGTCCAATCCGGTCTCGAAGCTGACTTTCACATGAGACGTCCAGTCTTTCCCGAATCACGGCTTCCGGATTAAGATCTCCCACAAAACGCTCTGTCCGGGGGAAGTCTGGAGAAATAGGGTGACAGTTCCTTAGATCGACCTGTATTCCAGTTGTCCGTGAATTGATTGATGAGTGTTTTGTGACATCGAGCTCATTTTGTTCGATCAGACAGGTAGGTTGATGTTGGTCTTGAGGTTGGGTATTGCATGTACCTAAATGACGACAGCGCTTCTTTTTATACATTTAGTTGAGCCCAGTTTCATACTTTAATTGGCTTGCCTCACATGCCACGAAACCCATGCACACACACAGACGCACCTTTCTTCTTTGGCAATGGGCACACGCCCTCAAGGCTCTGGTGCGACGCCGCGATTGGGGTGTGTCAGCGAGCCACGTCAGTTCCATTTCATAAGGTTAGTAGTGATGTGAATCAGAAATTTAAAATATATAGGTACAATGATTCCATAAAGTGGCATGTGGTGCGTCGCCCGTGGACGTAGAGCGATGATAATACTAATCCTGTAGAAGCTACTAGTATTGCGCTTTCTCCATTCCGATGATTGGTTCGAACTGATTTTGGATCAAAGTCTAGTCACTCACTACTTAGTAGTACTGAGTCGAGTCGAGTCTGTAGACCAAGTATCCAAAGGAGGTTAGTCGCCATATTTGGACACAGAATACGGAGTACGTACCAACTATAGGACCGAATACTCAATCCAGGTGTACATAATACTGCACCAGACTCTATAAGTACGGACTACTAATGAAGAATCTACCCTAGATCTTGTATTATGTGATCAACTCCGACCAACTAACTAGTATTTAGTTAACTAGTTAAGTACTAAATTAGGTAACTACTAGCTAGTAACTACGGAGTAGGTTTTCTGATGACTTAGTCTGGTAATGTATTTACTCTAAGGATGTATCCACTCCGTGCCCGTGAATTAATTCCGCACTCGAGCACTGGCAGACTAGTTGGCTTTTTTACCACATCGAGCATAGATCATAACCACGCGTCAGTCTACGCGATTCTTGACGCGTTGCGTCCAGATTGTTGGTTAAACCACCCGTAGTCCAGCATACTTCAGCTCTGTATCCTGCGCGCATGCAACGGTGTCTCATATATTATGTGAGTCTCATATCCGATTGCATCGCGCTCTCCGAATCTTATCGTACGACTCGGTTTTTCTACGTCCCAAGGACGAGTTGATTCCCTTCCCGACCCAAACAAAACAACATGTCCAGTCCAGCAGGCCAGAAGCGCAGTGCTAGTCATTTAACGACCTCACCCGTCGATGCGAAGAAGCCCAAGAATGGTAGTATCACGGCCTTCTTCGGTCCTCCCAAGGCTAGGGCTGTTGGACCTAAGTCAACGTCATCTTGCTCATCCAGCTTCAACAAGCAAGGGTGGGTAGCGTCGTTGACCCCGGAACAGAGGCAGCTCCTGCAGCTTGAGATCGACACGTTAGATGAAAGTTGGCTAGCTCAGCTAAAAGAGGAATTAGTGACACCCGAGTTTCTAGCATTGAAACGTTTCCTCCAAAAGGAAAAGCAATCGGGAGTCAAAATATTTCCCCCGGAGAACGAAATATATTCTTGGTACAGTGCCGGAATGGTCTTTTCAGATGGTACAAGCACACTTACGCTGCTCTAGGTCTCGACATACGCCCCTTCACAAGGTGAAGGTAGTGATTGTCGGACAAGATCCCTATCACAATCATAACCAGGCTCATGGCTTAGCATTCTCAGTCCGACCTCCGACTCCAGCCCCTCCATCCCTAGTCAATATCTACACAGGTATCAAAAATGACTACCCGTCCTTTCAACGACCACCTAACAAAGGAGGGCTTCTGACACCATGGGCTGAGCGTGGAGTATTGCTTCTTAACACCTGTCTAACAGTCCGTGCACACCAAGCTGCTAGTCACTCAAACAAAGGATGGGAACGTTTTACACAGAAAGCAATTGACATTGTAGCTAGAGTGCGATCTCACGGAGTTGTCTTTCTTGCATGGGGTACACCGGCTGGGAAGCGTGTGGCAGGTATTAACCGACAGAAGCATTCCGTACTTCAATCAGTTCATCCTAGCCCACTCAGTGCGTCCAGGGGCTTTGTGAGTATAAACTCCTCGCATCTTCTGTGTGGCATTAGCTCCACGCTTCTCCCTGAGTACGACTGACGGAGATTTGTAATTAGTTCACCAATGGACATTTTAAAAAATGCAACGAGTGGCTGGCTGAACGTTACGGTCCAGACGAAGTAATTGACTGGAGCCTGACCTCGAGAACAAAGACTACCGCCCCCCTCGCCACTATTCAGAGTCCATCCGCCTCCGTTGACAAACTAGCAGACTCTGTTGCAAAGCAATCTGAATCTCAAGCCCTAGAGTCGGCTGAGATGGTCACGCAGCCCTTAGAACTCCAAAATACAGATGAGTTTGATGATGATGCCGATGCCCTCGAAGCTCTAGCAGCTGCAGAGACAGCGAGCTAAATGTGTCATACTAGTTTTGGTCTTTTTGTTCTACCTATTGAGAGCAAATACAAATTAAGTGAGGTCATAATCAACGCCCTTCGGCGTCGCTTGGAGCTCTTGTGAATGTATGTTGGGTTTCTACATATACTAGAACTGCAATCTACACCTTCAGAGCTCTTAACATCCCCCCTCCCTTTTGGCATACTATATAGCTCCCGTAGGTCTTGCATTTTACTCTTCAATCGTGAGGCAATCCTACCACCCCACCCAAATATTTCTGACTGTCGTACTCTGAGGTAATATCCCGGATCTGAAGAGATTACACAGGAATTTCTTGACGCTAGTAACTAATATGCGTAGAAGCTAGGGACAGTAGAACACAACTCAGCGGCGCCAGAATATTAGTGGACGGTGATTTACAGTCTCTTAAAGGTAACTTTAAGGTTATGCGCTAGCGATACAAAACTGATGAAATGGTTCCCCAGCTTTGCTAAAGTGTAGATAGAGGGGTCTAAAAATCTACCCCAATATTGTGAAGACGAAGAATCTTTAGCACGGCTGAGCTGCGAGCCCGCAAGAAGCTTGCGCGTAGGATAACGTAACCGGTAAGCGAGCGGCCATTGTAAGCCAGCTACGTAGCTCTGTTTTCCATACAAATCAACACATTTTTTTACTTGAATACCTCAACAATAAGACACTGTAGTAATATAATAATCGAATATAGTATATAACTGTTTTAAATTTTTTATATAATTAATTTATAGTATAAAAATAGAGAAAATTTTTGAACAATTCTTATTAGACTTACCTAGTATATTAGATATTATGTATTAGGTGTTATATCCTTACTATCTCTGGTTGTTGAGATATTCAAATATAAAGAAAGGTCGACTTGTATGGAAAATAGAGCTGCGTAGCTGGCTTGCATGCGCAGCTCGTTTACCACGTTACGTTAGAACAACAAAGTTACCTAAGCCGAACGTAGCTGCGATTGCTCAAACTGCTGCTAAAATACAAAAATTCATATAAATATGAATAACTACCAAGTTTGATGAGATTTACAATTCATCATGCTCAGGCTTGTCATCGCTAGTAGCAGGAGTTTCAGTCTCGTCAGAGGCGACCCGAGTCTCATCGCCACTCTCCTGTTCTTTCTTCGGGTCAGCTTCAAGAGCATCGATCTTGTGCTTGCCATTCTCCTTGACGAAGTTTGCGAGATCCTCCACTGTGCGAGAGCCTTCATATTCAACTGGGGAGTCCTTAGCGCCGGCAGGGAAGAGCTTAATGGTGGGGAAGCCAGTAATGGAATCGGGGACATCGTTAGCCGTTGCGTCGATTTTGGCGATGGTAACTTCAGGAATATCCTTGTAAAGGCTTGCAAGTTCCTCATATTTCGGGGCAAGTCTATTGAAGATTTAATTAAATATTCATAAGCGAGGATAGACATAATTCGTGGTAGAAGAGGAGGGGGGAGGGGGGAACTCACGCCTTGCAGTGTCCGCACCATGGTGCATAAAATTCGAGAAGGACGTCCTTCTCGTTGTCAAGGACGAGATCCTTATAGGAATGCGCCACAACAACAGTGACAGGGCCTTCCTGAGTTTCAGGAATAGCCTCAGACTTGATGCTTGGCTCTACTTTATCATCAAGAACGTCTTGGATGAATTTACCGATATCCTTGGCCTTGACTTCCTTCGACTGGTCGTAAGGATACTTGGCGTTCTTTTCAGGGTCTTGAATGGCGAATGCAGGGAACTTTGAGGGATCAAGGTTGAGATTGCCTGCGTGAGCGCCGTACAACTTGGCATCAATGGTGACAATATTAATGGAACCCTTGTGTTTCTCGGCGATGGACTTGAACTCCTCGGTGAACTTCTCGCGCTCTTCTTTGGTTTCGGCGAAAATGTACGCCAGTGGAATACCAGCCTTAACCAAACTCATGTCAGAAACTCATGAATATTTACTATATATTGTGAAGCGATATTGAAGTTGTGCCTTGGGACATACCGTTATATATCCAGAGTAAGTCTCTGGGCCCAGCTCGCCCACCAAGGGGGTACTGGCAGTCTTAACCCAACTGAGGAGGGCATCCTGCTCAATCTCTCCATCATAAGTAGCTTTCTTCTCATCGAAGTCTTTGTAGAGAACAATTGAAGGTTGCTTGACACCCTCTGCCTTAGCGATAGATGCATCACTTGTCGCTGCGAAGAGATAGTTGTCTCTCTGAGACTCGGCAAAGGTGGTGAATATATCATTGGCAGCCTGGTCGTCAGACGCAATATAACCAATAACGACAATCTTGTCCATAGTCTTGATCTCTTCAAGGTTTTCTGGGGTAACAGGGGACACGGCAGGGAGTGACTGCTTAACCATATATGAAACAATCCTATGGACCTAGCATCAATATTATTCGAGCAACGCTATCAAGCAGATGACACTTACGCCTCAGTCTGGCGAGCTCCCTGATAAGGCTTCACAGCGTCAAGGCCACGGAAAATCTTAAGCGTGGGGTAACCTTCAACACCTTGATCCCTACAAAGAGCCTCTTCCTCGGTGCAGTCAACCTTGACCAGCGGAATGTTCTTTTCCTTCAACTCAGTGGCGGCCTGCTCGTATTTCGGAGCAAGAGCCTTGCAATGGCCACACCAAGGAGCGAAAAACTCGGCCAAAACTAGGTCATGCTCCTTGACGAAAGTTTCGAATGTATCCCCGGTGAGCGAGACCACATCGGAGGGAGCTTCGGCTGTCGCATCGGCAGCAGAAGCTACAGCAGAGGCCCCTAGGAGGCTCAGGATCCAAGGTGCGAACGTCCGCATGGTGTCGCGAAGTTGTCAAGTGTGATAATTTCCAAAAGGTGGCGTGCTGTGTAGGGTATGAAGAATACTAGTATTACCCTTTGAAAGAAGGCAGCAAGTGACGTCTGCACTTCCCAGTCTTCCTCGGTCAGAAGACAACGAACAAATGGGTTATGTTTGATTAATCAAGAAGCGGCGAGGATTAGGAAGAAAAATATGGGAATGAATGGGAGGTGAATAGGTAAAGCCGAGTTAAGTAGTGAGCTTGGTATGGGGAGGAGTTAAGGACAGTTTGTTCTTTCTGCAGTCAGCTGGTGCCTGGGCAACCTGACTGGTCTGTTGCGGCCCGCCTCGTATGGACACATACAGCAAGGGACTACCTGTACAATTCAGGCACCACCCTAACTACTACTAGTAGTAGCTTCGGGAAGCGCCCCATAGTGCGGCAGCACCTCAATAGTGGCCGCTGGGCGATACTGAGGACGCCACTTCTGAGTATTTACCTGGCCTCTAGGGTCTCACCGATAGATTCAGTAAATTTTAATTGGACTTTTCTTTATTGTTATTTTACATAGAAGATTTCAGGACATATTGGTTTGCTGCTGGCCTACAGAGTAAAATATTAGTGAATTGACAAGCGAAAACTATAGTTGTTGCTTTCTAGCTCTCTGTGTCTTGAGTCCTAAGGGAAGGGAGGAGACTCACTCCGGTTCTTCAGCTGCTGATGTAACCGGTGGAATGCTTGGAAGTGGGGATATGCTTTAGCTCCAAGATCATTGCATCGATGCACACAAATTACTCTGTAGAATTCATACATATATGCACTGTGCACATTTACCATAATACATACATCTCCAAGACTAATTCCAATGTTACGTTCTTGTGTCAAGCCAAAATGTTAACTTATAACTATTTAGAATTATGATTATCTAAGAAATATCTATGCTCGTATTTTTCAATATCATAAACACGTTGCATTTGAGCTGGGCAATGAGCATCCATGAGTAAGCACTGTACAGAGTAGTTAGTAAGTAATGATTAGAGATGTAACATGCACTCAGAGACAGATATTTTTATCATGTGAATGTATCATGTTAATCAACTATCGAAGAGAAATTCATCCTCTCCTCTTCTGCCTTTACTGCGGATCACTGTATCTCCTAAGTTGTTCCCTTTCCACTTCTCCCAGTGTTCTATACCTATGTAATCCCCGTTCAATATCTCCCACCACTTGCTCAAGATTTACTTCGAGGAATAGTACCTATATGTTCCCTGTAGGTACCTTATAGCAATGCTATTGAGCTGTGATTTATGTTGAGCCATGGCAGACCAGCCACCAGGTCGGAGGTGAATTGGATAAGTACTAGTAGTGGTACTACCTACTGGGACACCTGCATAGCTAGACGTTCAGTAGTTCGGCTCGGACAGGCTAATAGAATTTTGATTGATTGATTGATTGATTGATTGACTACCTACTAGGTAGCACCTACCTGGCAGTAGAAGTACTAGGTTAGCTTCATTCTTTGCCTACTATTACCTAGCGGACTCCGTAGCTTCTGACTTCTACAAACTATATAAAGCGTATCCCATTTATTATGAGTATACTCCAGAGCAAACACAATATGCAACTATCCTGTATGAAACACTACACTGTTGATTCAGTAACGAGTATTTATAACACTGCCACCCCTGCCCTAGCTAGTACTGATATGATAGAGAAAAGTTACTCATCCATCTTCCTACAGCATACTACGCTGTGGGACAGCCCATCAACGTACTGCTGTGCTATTGTTGGCAGTCTGAGACGGAAAAGAGATAAGTATAAAAACGGAAACAAAAGCACAGACCACTTGTCTATTTTACTCATGTCACCCTGATCGCATTCAAGTACATGTTGATGTAGCATCTTGTAGGAAGGACTGATTTGTTTAATCATCACTCATTCCGCACTACACCATTTTCATTATCGTGTCGATCACAAGGCACCGCTCCTTAGATAGGCGCATTGGGTTCTTGACTACCTTCCAATTCTGCTGACAATGAAAGCGCGTCCCTTTTTCCGCGGTCAACATCCACAAGGAGCATGAGCGGCAGTGGGAGCAGTATCAAAATAGCAAGAAAGACGAATGCAGGCCTAATCTCTCCATAGCGGTCTGTGACTATGCCAACGACAGCTGGGCCGAATATGCTCGAGCCCTTATCGGTGATAGCATACAGGGCGTAAAAGGCTGCTTCGTAGCCAGGAGGTATCAGTTCCCCAAAAAAGCTTCGGCAATATGAAGATAGCCCGCCCATAACCAGACCGTACACAATGCTCAGAGGGAACATTTCCCATGGCTGCTGGAGACCAAGATATCCCAAATCTCTAATTGCTGGAATGAATCCAAGAAGGCCATAGAGTGGTACAAGCTCGAACAAGATGATGCATGCGATGATAGTCTGTGATGCGCGAAGATTAAGCAACCGTGATATGTAGCTCCAGCAAAATGCACCAAAGACCCCAGCAAGCATTGCAACAACGTTGATCATACCCAATGCGGCAGGCTGCATGTCCAGCTGAGTTTTGGCAAAAAGAACGGCTGTACCACTGACAGTGGCAATTCCATCACTTAAAAGAAACCACGACGCAAGGAATAACAGGATATCTTTCAGGCGTCGTGTCCGAATCACTGTACGGCCTAGTGACTTCCAAGCATGAATGATGTAGCCAGGCCATGAGTGTTGTTTTCCATCTTGAGAACACGATAGTGGTGGGCCGGGACGAGGCCGTAGCCAAAGTGCTGCTGGTATCGTAAAAATAATCCACCACAGTCCAATCACAAAGAGAACAAGTCGCAAAGAAAACGTTGTTTGATGAGTGCTGATGACAAGCAAAATGCAAACTATTTGTAATAATACCGCACCGATATAACCGATTCCAATTCCATATGAAGATATTCTCGTGGAGAGTTCCAATTCTCGCGATGTACCTGCGAGAGAGACACGGGTTGCATTCTCTGTAATTGTTCCATTATGAAGTAATGGCGTCGTGACGTCATTCATATTGTCAGAGGTGTTACCCCAGGCATCGTCCCCCATGGCGCCCTGACGGGATATTTCATCTCTGCCCCCGATTAAAGATGGATGGTAGCGAACTAAAAGCGGTAAAAACGAGTTCAGGAGTACAAAGGACGCTCCAAAACAGGTATTTGCTATAATTGCAAAAAGAGCCCCAAGGAGGTAGAGCTTCGGTACAACTGATAGAAATAACATGGTAGAAATGGAGCCAACGAGGGCGAACGTCAACAGGAAGACTTTTCGATAAGTCCCATGGTCTGCAGCACCTGACATTGATATTATCAAAACAGCTTGAACTAAGACACTCACTGAGAATGTATACATGGCGAAGCTAGCAGTATTAACCTCTACGCCAAAAATGTAAACAACACACTGGCTTGCACCCAGTACATCTCGGTCATGGTGCAATGTATTGACAAGGGTTTTGCTTAATTTCTCATGTGGCGATAACTGCTGCGGAGCGTTCCAAGTTGCCCGACATGGAGTTACTTTATCTGAAAGAAGGACGCCGCGATCTCGGGCCATTTGCTCTAGCGTAATAGGGAGGAAAGAGCCTAGGTCATAGACAAAAATTAGACGAGCCATGGAGAAAGCTGACAAAGGTAAATCCTGTCGGATACGTTGCTCGGTATCGTACATACCCATAGCACATACTGTAAAAACTTCGGCTGCCCAGCTATAGCTATACCACCCAGCAAGCTCCTTCCTACTTGTCGGGCGCGTATCATCGCCTGGGTACTGCGGAAGTGACATCCCTTCATCTCCCCGCATACTGTTTCTGGAACAAGTCATTGAAAATCATATCCTAAGGACCGAAAGGTGTAATGGTATTCGGAGATGGTTTCCGGTTAATCACTCTTCTGCGCCTTTCTAATCACTGAAGAATCGACATAGTACAACAAGCAGAAGGCAGACTGAAATGGTGAGAAAAAGCCATGGACGAAGAAGTAAGCCTTGATAGGACTGACCTTAAGGAGCTTCGCTTTAGATGGAAGGTTAGGTGACGGCTGGAAGGGGAGTATAATACTTTTTAACAGGAAGATACGCAGATAATATTTATATATCCCGTAGCTGCTTGGTGTGGGAGTAGAAGCGTTCTAAAGGTGACCCCTGGTGTGTGCAAGAGGAACTAACAAGAGAGACCGAAGATTCGGTATACGTATACAATTGCCCGCTTTGCAGTTAGCAGACGGGTATGTAAATGCATAAAAATCCTGTCGAAAAAGGCTTAAGCTTCATAGCTTGTATGTTGAAAAAAAAAAACAAAAAAAAAAAAAACTGTTGCGTATATATCCAGATATGGCCAAAAAAGAAAAGAAAAAAAGCCAAGTCCAGCAGCAGTGATGAGTATGAAGTTGGGCGTTGATAGCTTCTGACTTGATGGGGCAAGCTATCCGCAGGTGTATATATTACAATACCTTACCCATAATCTCCAGGGAAGTACGGAATATTACAGTTAGTTTTAGTTTATTACAATGCTCCGTACTCCGTACTACGGTGTCTACTACTAGTAGTATGTACTAAGGAACATAATACAATACACTGCAATACATACTATACAATAGCTCTACGCAGGAGTACTCCGTAGACTGTTCTATGAAATAGATATATAATATTTATGTATAGCTATATAAGGAATCCACTAATTCCTAATAATTCCCAGGTGCAACAATGTGTGTCATCATTAATTTACTTTTCAATCAATCCAAGATAAAGATATATACATAGACTTTAATACAATCATAAACATAATAAAGACATTCGGTATAAAATATATTTTGATGACTCTAACTAAATAGCTATATTATAGCGTTGTAATAGTAGCCATTTGGCCAATACTTCTGCCAGGGACTGTATCCATGCTCCATAAGGCACAAAGGCACCAATTAATCAGCCACTGTTCCCGTGTCCCATCGTTCGCATTGCATCGCGCCGGCTTCCATCTTCAAACAATTCACTTACCCACAATCTCACTTTTTGTTTACACTGATATGATCAGTTTCACACTTAGAATATTCCCTCAATAGCATCTGTTGGATATTCGCACGTCACTCAGCTTTTGATTGTACTGTACAATTTTGTTCTGATTTCACTCCAGCTCCCCGCTTTTGTGCTTTCCAACTCTAATATCTTCCAAACGGCCTCGGGCCAGTAATACCTTTTATCTTAACTGATACCAGTAAGACAAAGAGCCGCGATTTCTTAATTGTCACAAACCCACTATCGACTGGCCTGTCTGCAAACGTCATTGCCTCAGCTGGAAACAAGTTGATTTCCAGAGAAGGCCCTTTGCTTTCTCTCTCTCTCCTGATCTTTTTCTTTTTCTTTCCTTTCTTTCCTTCTCTTTTTCGGCCCTGCGACTTACTTTGTCGCTCAATTGAATATACGCGTGCGACTACGCTGACCTAGGGCAATCGTCGCAAACACCTTCGAATACCTCTACGGCCGCCAGGTTGAGATATTCCCCACTTTGAATGGGCATACATGGCATTGCGCTGAACCCCAGATTCAGACGTAGAGTGCATCATCTGCTTCCCTTCCTGCCCCACTCGCTGTTTCGAACCCGAACGAGCACCGCCATCAGGCCGTCGCCTTTACTGCGTAGAGGGTGAAGGAGGGGAGGGCTTCAAAGGACAAAGTCACCACTGCGCGTCTAGACATGCCGGGGGTTGTCATGGACAATACAAATATTGGTGGAGCCGGACAAGGGTCAGCTATTCATGATTCAAGGAACGGTATGCCGTCTTTAGCACCAAATACCAATCGAACTTCCGCCTTGGGCGACTCACATGCGGGACGAGTTCATATCAATGGTATGGCGAAAAATGCGGTTGACCCCAGTCAAGCCGAAGGCGCTTCTACGGTCAAGATTATATCGACTAAATCCACGGAGTTACCGGGGTTGCCACACATAACGCAAGGCTTTTTCCCATTCTCGAAATTAATCAGTAGATCTGTGCAACAATCCTGGAATGATCTTTCCGACTTGATCACGGAGATGGCAGACATCCAGGTCTCACCTCAAGATCCAAATTCTTTGCAATTGCCCGCCAGTGGCAAGTCTGGGAATCAGAGCCCAGAAAATCTACGGAAGAAGGCACGGATCCTTGACTTTACACACGCCAAGCGCGCAGAGTTCATCAAACTCCTTGTCTTATCTCAATGGAGCCGACAAGCAGCTGATGTTAGCAAGCTAATTGACCTTCAAAACTTTATCCGTACTCGTCACCAGGCTTACATGGGTGCTCTGCAATGGATTGGTGATATGAAGCGAGATTTAGTACAAGCCCAAGTAGCCAATCCGGATTTAACAACGGCTCTCGAAGTCTTGTCCAAGGGTAAAGTATCTTCTATGTCAGATGTGCGCTTCATCCTTCTTATATATATAAATATATTTTTGATATTGATGTTAACTTGATTATATTTAGCTTGGGTATAAACCGCCTAGATCCTTGACTGGCAAAGACACGCTCAAAAGATTGCAGAAAATCAATAGGATCATAAGTGTGAGATTAGCGTTGTACGATTCAGTCCCTTGCGCCTTTCGAACGTATAGCATCCATGACGGCCGTGTTACATTTGCTGTGCCAAACGAATTTGAATTGGATCTTTCAATCGGGCAAGAAGACAAATCGTCTCAGTTATACTTCGTCGACATACGGTTTCTCTTCAATCCATCCTCACCGATCCCTAAGGGTCGAATACTCAACGAATTCGATGTCAAGATAAACGATGCACTTCGAAACGACGGCCTTGCTGGATGCTTCGATTTATTACATAGTCTCGTTCTCACTAACAAGATCAACATACTCTTCAAGCAGGCCATGGAGTTGGCACAAGGCCTCTGGTACGATGTCTTGCGTGTTGAGCTTTTGCACCGAACTCTTGTTGTACATTACTGGGCGCAAAAAGCTGGAGCTAAAAGTTGGCTAGAGATTGGGATTAAGAGTGGTAGAATATACGGTGAGAATGATAGCCCCAGGTATCCTTACTTGGATTTGCGCTGGATAAGAGACGGCCAAGAAGTCGACAACGAAGAGATCGAGTTCAACACAGAATGCCTCTCTATGGAGTGTATTCTGCGAAGTGTCATTGCGCTGCATATCTCTCATATACTCTCCTCTGCATACTGCATAATAAGCGAAAGTCTACTTTACTCTGCTGGCAGATTATCTTTGCAGGCTCAATTGACTAGGACCGAGCCTGGTGACTGTGGATTGACTATCCAACTTACGGAGTCCAGGTATCTTACTGTTTCTATTGAGCCGATGACGGGAGCGAGCATTATAGCGGCTACCCCCAGCGCTCAGGAGCGACTTGACAATGATCGCAGCTTTGACAAGTCTTCCGCCGAGGATATAGTGACCCGTGTTGCGCGACTTCGTTGCATGGCTGCGATAGATGAAATTGAATCGAACGTCAGGATGTTGGGCTTCGAAACAGTGAATCCCAGAAGTTTAAAGATCGATTTTCGAAGAATGTTCCCGAACAATGTTTTGCGGTTTTCCTTTTTCTGCCACCACCTCTGGGAACGTAACTGGATTGTAGCAGCAACAAGCAGCATGGACAGTGACAACTGGTGGGTTGTGCAACTTCAAAACACAACGACAGCAGAAAACTCTTCAGTTTTTGATGCAAACATACATATCTCGTCTACTCTTCGTTCAGTCCAGGTCATAAGCGGTTCATTCTTCCCTGTGAGCCAGAATATCAGCTACCCCTCGTTTGCAAATTTGGGGCATTATCTTTCTGGGATATTAGCAGTTCATACCAATGCGCGCTATTTAGCGGACCTACAATCCGTTGACTTCTACCCCCCTCTACAACGACTGGTGATTGAACCCGACCTTTACGTTCCCGAGATCTTCATGCGTTACGAAGTGGCGAATATTCCCGAAGCATTCCGGATAGCCTTACCTAGTGGGCTGAAAAGCAGGGTTCGTACCAAAGGCACGATCCGTCTCGCGTTTCATGGGATAGATCCTTGCAAGAAGGTTGCCACTATAGTCGCATATGGGAATTTATTGATACCAATCAAAACTCTCAGTGCCTTGAATTCAACATGGGACCATTCGCTGGTTTTCCAAAAGAGAGGCACTGGCTTCGCTATCCGCATGCTAGCCCCGCCTGGCCGTCCTGTCATTCCCAAACTCATGGAAAATTTGCAAAGACTTGATTGTGTCTTGTCAATTTTCGAGAGCCTTCAACGAAAGAAAATGGAGCCCCGATCTCTGTCACTGTCACATGTCACTTTTGCCTATGGCCCCGAGAAAGACCTCCTCGCCACCCTGAATATCGAAACATCCATGCCGCCGAGTTCTATGGAGCTTGATCCTATTTTTATTGCGTCTCGAACCAAATCATTGTTTCAATTGCGCTTAGGCCTATCCTTTGAATTTCTAAACCCACATCGTCGCATCCAGAAGTCTATTGAATCCACATTGAACCACAGCATCACCGACGCGGGTCTAGACACTGTTGCTGAAATTCTCTTGCTTACACTTCCATTAATGCGAGCCCTAGACCAGATCTTAATAAATCCGTCTAACAAGCAGCCACTAAGGGTGCAAGTGACTGTCCGTAACGCGAAGACATTTCAGATTCACTATCCTGCCCAAAGCTTCCGCTTCCAATTAATTGCCACTCATCACCTCAGTCACATGGTCTGGATCCTGAAAGAGCTAAGCAGTCCTAAGGAAGGATCAAGCCAAGATCAGCTTAAGTTGATGCTTCGAGAAAGGTTATATAACTCAAAGGGCGATGGATGGAGAGGCCTGGGTAATGGGGTTGTCGCTGAAATTGACAAAGTTGGGAATCTTCTGATTGAGCTCGACAAATGTTTCGAGGCTAGCAGCACTTTAGGGTTGGCAGTTTCGACTCCCGAAGCGAAAGTCAACGGCTCGAAGAGTTTTGATCAACAGTCGACGGCAGAAAATGGAAACCTTGAAAGCATGCCCAATGAACCGGCAACATTGATCCCTGCACCAAATGTTACAAATACTCGGCACAAAACTGGTAACACAACGCAAAATGCGGATATTATTATGATTGATTAGAGTCGCAAAGCTTCCTCAACCTCTTGACATATTTGGTTGCCTCATCATGAGCCACTGTATTTTTGGATTATCGCCTCCCTACGGCTTTCTGTCTCTTCCTGGATCTAGGATGTGTCACGACCGTCGCGATTGTAGTTATGTGTACAATGATTTGATTTACATAGTTTCCCTTCTTACCCAGCGACTCTTCTCCTTGGGATCCTGCTTGTTATAGGAGTGATTTTCGCTGGCTCCATACCGTGAAAGGAGATTTTCCATCACGAGCTCGATCAACGAAATTAATACATTATGTTAGTTTCCTACGGCAAAGTTTCTCAGAATCAAGGCGTTAGTTACGGGGAGTTGTGCTTTCTTCGCTACTTTCGGTTTCACCATCAGTCTTTCTGTATTATTATCCATTCTTTGCCGTTTTAAGAGCAATCTGCTGCCAATGATTATTTCTTATCAAATTATCGCATTTGTTGACTACAACGAGTTCAAGGCTTCCGACACACGGCACCGTCTTGTCTCCAACCCTAGAAGACATAAAACTTGTCAACTTATAACTTGAAAATCCCTGCAAGGAATGTATCCAGCCGCAGCGTTGGATCAAAAATGAATTGTTACATGGTTCCAATTATCATGTATTACATAGTCCCGGTCTTGCTCTATCATGAGTTAAGTAAAAACCATGGCGCGTAGACATGGACGTGGGTATTATTCTATCCTTATGAATGATTAATATCGCAACTCTTTCACCTTTCCTCGGTTCTTGGAAGCATCATATTCGATCCATCTCACAGAAGACAGGTCACCTTCTGGAATAAGCTTCCCGGGATTCATTACATGGCAACCTTCATAAGTCATACAAAACGGCGCCGCTTCAGGATCAGCTAGAATGAAGCTTGACGGTAATGGGTACAGTTGCAAGGAGGACGCATAGTCCCATAAGACGGGTCGCAACGAAAGTGGGAAAGGCGACATGGTGCCCTGATCTAAAATGGTCTTGACAAGCTTTCGCGACATATTGACTGCAGAAGGAACTGGATAGGATTCAGCTCCTATTGGTGGCATCTGGGACTCAATGGAGCTTTCAGGTGATACGGAACTCTTTTGGTTATCCGTCCCTTCATCCATTACTGTAGACCTCTCAGCATCCTGTCCAATGCTCACTGCGCTGCGTCTCAGCCGCCCTGAAATGTCATCACGGACTATCGCGATGTCATGGACCGGTCCAAATAGAGTGATGCGGGAGGGATTCGTTGTCCAAATAGCTTCGCCAATAGGCTCGGATGACTGAGATCGGTCCGAATCAGCATTTGCCGTAGCAAATACACGTTTCACCCTTGAAGTGAACAGGTCCGGAACAGCTTGACGTGGGATAGCAGAAGCAGCACCAGCTGAAAAGGCAGATGGCCAGGGGTCGTTGTCGCCTGGCACAAAAATGAACGTAGAGTGCTGTAGCAGAGAAGGGAATTCAGATAGCCCCATAGCGAGCGAGTCAAAATATTCCTTGTACTCAATACCACCTGCCTGGCCGCCACCATTGATCATAGTCTTCTGGACAAAATTCCCGATTAGGACGAAAATAATGGGACGTTCTCTCGGCGGTAGGTCACTGTAGAGGCCGAAAACCCTCTTCAGTGCGTCCACCGTCTTCACATGATCAAGGTTAACCTCGCTCATGATTACAATTTTGGTGCAACGGGAGTCATCTGCACCCCCGTGCAGGTCCTGTAGGCATCTCGCCTGGATATGTCTCATACGAGGTCCGCGTGCACGTTCGCTTCCCACTCCCAGAAAGTCTACCCAGCCAAACCCCCCGCTAGAGCTCATTTCCCCCTTGTTCCGTCGACTTTTGGTTCCTAGTGACATTTCCCGTCTTTCGCAGGGAGGTCCACATATAGAAACCCCTACGAATATACCCCCAATAGCACCTCCAACCCCAGTATTCCCACCCAAGGTCGACCCCTTCAAATTCTCTTCTTCTTCGTAGATCCCATCGACAAGCACAATCATACCAGGCGCGAACCAAGCGCCATTCTCGGGTATCATCCGTGTATGACTCAGTTCTAAAGCGATACTCCCGGTCAAGTCGGTAAGGGACAAATCACCCGTTGGGGAAACAGAAAGCATGCCGAGTAACAAATGGGATGTGCCACTCCTGCCCAGTAGGTTTGCAACTGGAGTAAGCTTGTAGCATTTATTAGGAGCAAAGGACGATGAAGATCGTGATAATGAAGGTACGCCAGAAGAGCCTAGTGACAGTTGGAATGATTCATTTCGTAGTAAGCGCTGGTGAATCACATTATAACGATCCCGGAACAAGGCAGTCTTATGAGAGGGCTGCGGAAATAGAGAAGCTTTCGACTTTGCAACCTCGAAATATTTTTTTTCGGCGTTGTATGTTAGACGCGGAATATCAAACGCATCAACTACCTTGATCCAACTTCTCGGGTGAAAAGAAAAGTTCGAGTCCCCGTGTTCTCCATCTCCTAGGGTAGGGGGTACAGATGGAGACAAATGTAGACTGGTGTGCATACTCTCCCTATTCTGAGACGTACTTAAGGACACGCCATTTGTTGTAGGGGTCTTGCCAGCAACAACCCTACCCCCACTCATATTTCCTTCAATGGTTTGCAAAATCGTTTTTAGCGAGGCACCTTTGCCTTCTTCGACAATAACACCTCCTCCAGCCTTTTTCCAGCTTTTAGCCACTTCGTCCAACACTCGCTCTGCAAGGCCTTCTTCGCGCCATCCTGACCCGCAATTTTTGCCCACGAAGGTAGCTAGAGTCTGTAGTGCAGATGAAGAAATCGTCAAGTTATGTTTCCGGGTGAATGTACGGAAAGCGACGGGCCGAAGGGTGGATGGAGGAAGTAAAATGGGCAATATAGACGTTCTCGTAAGAAGATGATTTGTTTTGTTTTTCCGCAAAGGGTGCGCGGGTGTCGCAAATGCAGGAGATGATGAAGGGACGGGGTCAGAGTCCATCATTACATACGCATTCACAAGTATCTTGATAGTTTGTTTCTTATGTCGTGGGCATCCCTTTGATCAATTTTTGACTAGGCAATCGACCCTATAAGGATTAACTCGACTTGCGGTATCTGCTGATCTTGCCGTGATCTCAGTATGAGTTGCAGTGATATAAGCAAAACCCAGGCAATCTCAACTGCTTGGGCGGCGCGTGATAAATTGAGTGGCGCGACCACTGACGCGACCCGCGCCAGTCTGGAAATAAGTTCCATTTAATCATTGAATGCCAAGAGACAGAACATTTATTTCCTTCTTTTCGCGCTTGCGTCACCCCTGACCGTTGTTCTTTTCTCCAGTGAATCTTAATTCTTGTTCCTCAGGCAACTACTTCGTTCGATCCTTTTACTATCTTTAGCGCCCCTAGCTACATCACTCCGTCATTTTTGGGAACGATTTAGGAACGAAATACTTGGGGCAACAGACCGCGGCAATGGCAGAGCATGAGCATGCGGAAATGAGCGGTGCACCGCTTCAAAGTAATAACGAAAGTTTGAGGGCGTACTTAGCAGACCTGACTGAGCGAGCTGCTGCCAAGGATGCTGTCAAAGATTTCAACGCTGCTGCTGAGCTTTATTCTGAGGCTACAGAGCTCCAGGCTAAGTTGAATGGGGAGTTGTCGCTTGACAATGCCGACCTACTATATTCATATGGTAAATCTCTCTACAATGTTGCTGTGAGCAAGAGTGATGTCCTTGGTTCCAAAGTGGCCGGAGAGAGTCAAACGCAGTTACATGATCCGTTGACTGTGAATGCCTTCTCGTCTGGGACAACACCTGGGGGTGATAGCCTTGTTCAGGATGCAATTTCAAGTGGCTTAACGCAGAGGGAGGCGCTTGCTGGAAAGGCGCAGTCCCAGAAGGTCGAGAACAAGACATATTTTCAGTTCACAGGAGATGAGAATTTTGACGCATCTGATTCCGACGAAGAAGACAAAAGCGATAGTGGCGAAGGTGCCGAAGAAGATGAAGATGACTTCGCCAATGCTTTCGAAGTCCTTGACCTCGCACGTATACTCTACCTCAAGAAACTAAACGCAACAGAAGAAGAAAGTGGAAAAGGCAAAACCGCAGATCTGCCTCCTCATACCAAACAGATTAAGGAGCGCCTCGCAGATACGTACGATCTCCAGGCTGAGATTTCGCTAGAAGCTGAGCGTTTTACGGACGCAGTGACCGATCTCAGAACGGCACTCGAATTAAGACAATCTTTGTTTCCAATGGAGGATCCATCGATCGCCGAATGTCACTATAAGCTTTCGCTTGCCCTGGAATTCGCGTCTGTTAACAAGGCAGACGACGATTCTGCTAATGGCAAGAGTGATAGGACGACCGACGAGCAAATGAGAAAGGAAGCGGCGAGTCAAATGGAAAAAGCGATTGAAAGCTGCCAAGTGAGAATGGCTCAGGAACAGAAGATACTGGATAATAATAGTACTATGGAGGAAGACAAAGCAACCGCTATGAAGAGAAAAATAGCCAATGTGAAGGATATCATAGCAGACATGGAGCAAAGGGTAAGTTTCTCCCAACCATCCGAACCTCGAATTCTCATCCTTAAAACACGGACATCTCACTGGCCTACAGCTTGTTGATCTGAAGTGCCCCCCGGTATCACTCGAAGACAAGGAGGAGAAAAATGATATGTTGAAAGGTATCTTGGGTCAGATAATGGGGCAATCTCCTTCGGAGCAGATGGTACAGTTGGACAAAGTCTCGAAGGGGGCTAATGATCTCTCTGCGTTTGTCAAGCGGAGATCAGGTAGTAACCAACAATTGGTATCTACACAGAAGCGCTCAGCTCAGGAAAGTGGCCAGGAAGGAGATGTGAAAAGAACACGAGTCGACAACACAAATGGTCCCCCTACCTAAGCATTCAAATATTAATTACTGCTTTACTAACCGTCTTTCTCATTCGCTTCTGTCGGCGTCGAAACGAATTGGCTCTATACCACAAACATTTGCAAGGACTAATTACTTGGGGCGAAAAGCAGATACCCACTCCAACAGATTTTCAAACTTATGGGAACCCTGGAAATGCACTTGGAATCGTTATAGCTTGAACATTACCATTAAGAAACCCTTTGCAGGGTCACCTGCGCAGATATCGGTCATAAAAGGTAACATGAGTAGCAGGGTATCAAGATACCGCGATTACTGGGAAAGAAGGAGAGAGAGAGAGAGAGAGAGTGTGTGTGTGTGTGTGTGTGTAACAGTGCTTCAGGGCGTAAGGCCAAAAATCGAGGTATGACGATCTAATTTGCGGTTTCGTCGCCGTATAGCCAGTCCAGGACTCCAAACACCAGCAAACAGGTCTTCGCATTCATCTTCGTCCTGACTATCGAACTCTACTCGATCGCCGGTTGTATCAACATCCATTTTTGGAGAAGTCATAGGCCCACACAACGCAAAAGGCTCGACATATGAAGCCGACTCCCATGAGGAGGACGTCATAATCCGTTTGGTTTCTAAAATGAATTTGCCAACCTTGTAACGTTGCGCCTCTTCTTCAGCGGCAACATATTTCCATCCAAGAATACTCCCACAGAAAGCACAACTGATATCGCTGACTGTATGGGCACCTGTGACCAGCTGACGCGATACGGGTTTCTGCATTATGGTGTTTGGGAGTGATTCTGTGGGTGAGGAAGTTGCACTGATGGATACCGCACAGGCGATAGGTTCCGCTGACACGAGATACGCGCGACCATGGCGACCAGTGAACCCTTTGCTGATGATCTGGGATGTCAAACATAAATCCGTTGCGCAACGAGAACACTGAATATATGACACCTGGCCACACAGGTATTTCTGGCAGTCCCCATCCATGGGCGAGGTTCTGGTAGAGGGTTCGGCAGAGCACCCCACATTGCGTTGTCGAGAACGGAACACGTTTGGTGGGAGAAGGAACTTGGGGAACATAAAGAGTACTCTAATGCTGGTGTTCACTATTATAGCTACTTTACAGAATAAGAGGGTGTAGCTGAGATCTGCAGAACCATATGATCGACGCGCTGCACTTCGAGCAGGAAGTCAGTGTCGGTAGTAGTGTCATGCTGAGGTCATAAATACCATACCGCCCTTGAAGGGAGTACCTTCCGCTCCGGAGTACGGAGTTTACTCTCATAGAGATCACCAATAACATTCGAATCCATTATATTGTGCCCCACTGCAAGTACTAGTAAATAGCCAGCCCGGTACAGAGTACATTAGTGTTAAATCCACTGTGAGCGCGGAAGGCAAACCTTCCACTATTACCACTCATGTGACGACATACAATGTACTGCTTCAACTCGCTATAAAGTGACCGTCGCACTGCTATACTTCAGCACTCAAAAAAAGCCATCTAGCACTAAGCGACATTTCGGTACAATCTCCAGTGCTCCACGGTTGCAGCGTTGTCAAGTTAAATCCACACCATCCTAAATTCCTCACAACTTCAAGCTCTGCTGCACCTTGCGAACGCGGAATGCATGCAACAATCTGAGAGCACCCAAATTCAGGGAGATTTGCTAGCTCAAAAAGGGCAATCAATCTGTCAAACGAGCCGTGAGTCTCCGTTGTATTTCATTATGTTCTACCCGTAGGTCCGAGATTTGAACTTACCCGGTCTTGAGGCCTTGGCCCAGAGCACATTCACCGAAGAATATGAATAGGGCACGCTCGTCATTTGAACTAGTCACGAATCCGCGGTATATACAATCACTTGTATAGTCCAGCACCTCAACCCACTCCTGAATTCGGCTATGCTCGTAACATGAATTATTCGGTTGAACTTGATACGCACCTGCCCCAAGCGACCCTTGTCCAGAGAGAATCCCCTCACCAAGGAAAATCACAGACAATGTGTCGCAGAAGAGCCTCTCACACTCTTCCGGGATAGTATGCGCTGCCTCCCCTTTGTTTTCGGGTATAATATTACCCGAATGACTGTTCTCCATTCCCGAATGGGTAGAGAGATCAGGGGGGGGGACTTGGAGACAAGGTTTTCGACCCTGAGGGGACCTCAGGGATACCACTGGGCTCCTGTGGAAGGTAGCACTATGGCATCAGTACGAATTAATACAACCCAAGTTATGTATGCTTACCGGCCCCGGTCGTAGTGTAGTAATGGAAACCATTAACTCTCGATGCTGACGTGTTGACGCTGTAGCAGCTTGCAAGCGCAGAAGTCTGGAGAGCTTTGTTGGGAAATCGCTGTAACTGATTGTAGGTATTACTGTTGCTATTCGAAAACTTGGCCATGATTGTAGTAGTCGCCCTAGAGAAAGGGTTATTATATATATAACGTCGTATAGAGTGGCTAGAATGTCTGCTTGGGTCAGACATTGGCAGCCAGATTTGACGGAGACCAACTAGAAAGGGGCCGATTGGCACGTAAAGCAGTTATGGTCCAGGTATAGCTAAGATGCAGTAGTAAAGGATTAGGTTACTAGTGGGTAGATTATCTGTAGTCCGTTGACCAACGCCGAAGGCAATGGAAGGGGTTCTTTGGTCCGTACCGAGTAGTGGTTCATTATATGTGTTACATGGGGAACAGTCAGCTGACTTGATTGTCCGATTGGTCACGTGCTAATGACTAAGGTGGAAGGTTGCGCTGAAGAAAGTATATCAGCGTTACATATCATATCAAGAATCAATCTAGAGAGACCTCCCAGCCAGTACGACCTTGACAAGACGCTGCTCCAATCCACCCTATTTCAAAGTAATACATAGCCAGGGCAAAGCCTATGGTGAGTGTATACATCACATGTGTAGTATATACAAACAAGAAAGATACACCATGTGAAAGCGAAGAGTAACTCTTATGCACAATAGAAGGTGTCCCGTAGCTCCCAAGCTGACATGGACCCAAAAGTAAAAGACATGAAACAGAGTGCGAATCACTGTAGAGCGTTTAAAGCTCTCGATAATCACTCGGCCGTATCCTCCTATATCTTGCTTGATGTCGCTGTGGATTAACAGGCTGGCGGAAGTACGCCGTATCTTCTTCGCGGGCATACGGAGTGCTAAATGTAGTCCGCTGTTGGTTTGAGAAATGGCCCATATTTGGTCCCTGTGGAAAACCTAAGCTCTGTTGCATATTTCCGGCCATATGAGATATGGGAAACATATTCACTGGAGAGTCACCCATCCCATTGAACATATTCGTAGCTCCGTACCCAGAATTGACTGCACCGTTCGTGCTGTCACCATATAAACCATTTGACAGCGAATTGAAATTCATACTGCCCATAGGATTCCAAGTTTGGTTAATATTGTTAGTGAAAGCATTGGATGAAGCTAAGGCAGCCGAGTTCATGAATCCCGTCCCTTCTCCGGCGAATCCAGCATCAGGGAAAGTCATTGAAGGAATGCCCTGGGCCTGCATGAAATTGAATCCACCAAAAGGTATTTGCTGGCCGAAAGGGAGAGACTGAAATCCAGTAGAAGGCTCATTGACTTGTGAAGACGAAGTCTCGGTAGACTTAGGGTTATCTTCGACTTTCTTCTTCTTCTGTGTAGAAGTTGAAGTTGTCTCCTCGGTAGCTTCGCCAAGAGACCCATCCTCTGCAGGCCTTTTCCTGGAATGATTAGACAAACCTTCCCCGGTTGAGGCCGGTGACGACAACTCCACTTTTGAATCGTCGGTTAAAGTATATGGTTTGTTGTTAGATTGTTTCTCTTTCTCTTTTTTCGAATCCACCTTCTCAGCCTCGTAAACCTTGATTTTCGTGACAGCGTCATCGTCTGCAGACAGATTATCCAGTAGGACACCTTCTGTACCACATCCAGGGCAGACGAAATCACTCTCAATCAATGCATTTGTAATACAGTCATTGCAGTAAGTTCTTTGGCAGCACGGCGTTTTTGTGGGTTCTAAAAACATCCGTTTGTCAATTGGACACTCTAGCCCGCGTGCTTGCAACTCCTTGCTATATTCTGCAGCTGCCGCTTCGGCGGCGGCGGCGGCCGAAGCCTTAGCTTTTTCTTGGTATAATTCCCAAGCCGCCTTGTCTGGTTTAGCAATGACAAAATCGCCATCAGCATTAACCATGACGCCTGTATTTTTCAAATCTTCATTGGTGCCATCTATCGTGAGCGATTCTGGCTTTTCAACTTTGGTTTGCAGAGAACGAGGTATACCAGTTGAACGTTTCACTCGGTACTTGCCATCGAACTTGGGATCATTGTTGGTTGGGCATGCTTGGATCCAATGACCTAATCATGAGCTTTAGCCAAACTGCAACCACCAACTTCGATATCAATCAGGAAGTGCGTGCCAAAACAAACCTTTTTCACGGCAACGATAGCAAAGATATCCGGGGGGCGGAGGGTGGTCGGGGACATTTATTGGCTTTCCTCTCCCGCGACCAAACGGAACAGGTGTAGCACTATGAACATTTATCAGATTAAGGACTCATGTGTTTGACCGAAGTATGCTCACTTAGCCATCTCTTGCTGTTGTTCTTTCCATTGATTGGCCTGCAAGTTGAAAAGCGCATTTATCTTCTCCTCTTCGGTCTGAGCATTGTTAAGTTCTAGGACACCGTTGCTAACAGTATTGGTAGAGTTGGACACTGTTCGGCTCGACGAAACCTGGTCATTACGAGGAGCGTTGCGCGCATTTATAGGCATTTTTCCAGATACGTAACGAGTAGCACCGCCTTTGCCAGGTCGCGATGCAGGTAGCCTCCGAGCTATAACAGATGTCGAACGAGGTATGATTGTGGTATCGTCATCGTACTCTATGTCACGAATATTTGTTAGCTGCTCATCCTCCTACTCCGTTTTTCCCTCTTGCTTTTGTGCTTCTATGTTCGAACTCCTCCCCATCCCGCTCCTTCGTCATCTCCTTTCCCCTCTCCCCATTTCTTATTCCTAGCATTTATCCTTTTTCTAATTGCAAAGAGAGGTGTAATGAATTCAAGAATAATCAGTTCGTTCAACTTACCTTCTCCAGTGTCTTCATTGTAGATGGACAGCTCGAAATCAGTTCCGTCACCCAGCCTACTCTGATTGATAATTTCGCGTTTCAATTCAAAGACAGAGATACCGGTGCCATCAAAAGTCACCCTTGAGGGTTCTTTTTGAGATTTGAACTTGAAGTGAACAGAGGATGACATTGTATTCAATTGCACGTTCAACGAGTGTTTGCGAATGTAATTAAATCAAGATTAAAGGGGTATCGCTTTTGCGAGAAAGGATACAACAGGAAAAGAAAATAATGTAAGGAACAACACTTGGGAAACGTATGGCAAACAACCAACGACAGATTTTGATTCGTGAATCCTCTTTGTTATAAGACCCTGGAGATCGCAAGCCAAATATCTATTGACGATATTGCTCGAACTCATGAACTTAAAATGCCTTTTGCTGAATGCTGGATGGTAAGTATTCAAACTGCATACAAACAAGATCAAGTCTGAAAGAATACAAAGCGAAACAGTTTGCAGTACTGTGGTAAACAAAGGCGAGCCACAAGAATGTTTCTTTCGTCCTAGGATTTTCTTTTCTTTTCTTTTTTTTCTTCTTTTTTCATGAAAGATTCTCCGTTCAAGAGGTAAATTGGAGCTTCTTAGTCTCCTCTAGCCTATAAGTTGCGGCCTAGAGTTGCAGTACAGAACAGGTGCTTGGGTGTCTTATCGGAAAGCAAAATCCATGCACAAGAAGGGTGAGCAGTTGATATTTGAACAATACCAGAAGTAGACAAATCTTGGGCGGGTTGAGCGGCGAAAGACTTTGGGCAACAGGTACCATCAGTGTCGCGCGACACGATACCTGACGTATCCAGAAATTACGACTCAGTACAGGATCGAGCGCATAAAGATATGGTCGTATATTTGAAGGCTGAGTTCGGAACAGTATGAAGAAGAAAGAGAAGCCCCAGAACTAACAGGGGTAACTGCGTTGTTCAAAGAAGGCGTAAGAGTAACGAAAGACGTGCTAGGTATGAGTTTGATGGGTGGGATGAGAGCGCACTTGGGAGTGGTGGCAACCAAAGCATCATTAAATCACGTGGTCTAGAGGCCAACTAGCCTGGCCGCCTTATCCTTCCGTGCCTCAACTAATAAAACTGGTACTACTCACAATGTAGTATTCTGGACAAAGTACTACGCCTTAAATTGAGCAAGGACCGTCTTGCGCGATTCTAAATAGCTAATGTACACCCTTTTAACTGAAATGTCTCTAGTATTTATATACCACCAAAAGGGTTACATGTCAGTTTCAGGTTTGCGGACCAGGAACCCTTGGCCACTTAAATAGTCTTTGACCTCGCTAACAGTATATTCACCGCGGTGGAACTGTTGACTTCGTTAGCTACTGCGAAAGACTCAGGCAATACATAAAAGTAACATACCATGCCAGCGCCCAGTGCCGCATCTGTAGTAGTACGCTCGAAAACTTCCGCAAAATGTCCAGGATTTCCGGCCCCACTGGAGGCAATTACTGGTATTTTGATGGCCGTTTTGACGTCGTTAATTAATTCTAGATCGAACCCGCTATTGCTTCCATCTTTGTCGATGCAATTCAAAAGTAGTTCCCCAGCACCCATGGCCTCAACAGCTTTTGCTAACTGCCGAACATCCAAGTCCCGGGCCTCTCTGCCACCGTTGATGGTGCATTGGTACCAACAGAAGGTTTGCCCTAAAGTATTCGGATACTGTGTCCTGATGGTATGATGTTTAGTGTCTTCAGGGCCGTTGACGTATACGCGTTTGGGATCGACGCTCACAACCACAGCTTGGTTGCCATATGCACGTGATATTGTCTCTATGGCGGTTGTCCCAGACAGCTTTCCGCCGGCTTCGTAATATTGCTCAGCTGCAATAACAGCATCCGAGCCAATGCTGACTTTATCCGCCCCAGATTTGAAATACATGGTGGCGACGTCAAGGGCCGAGATGCAGGTGCCATCTGGATCAATGGTATCCTTGATTCCACCTCCAATCGTGAGAGGAACGAACACAGTTTCAGATGCTCTTCTCAATATTTCCAGCATAGGTGTGTCTGCCACTGGGCAATTTCTGAATGATGTTATGTTCAGGAATGTCACTTCGTCTGCCCCTTGCTCGTAATATTTTTTAGCCATGTCGACTGGCTTCCCCAAATTCCTTACCTTGCCTCCCGAATTAACGCCATCCTTCTCGCGTACATCATATTGATCGCCTTTTGTGACGACGAGGTCACCGGAATCGTTCGTGCGGACATCGAGACAAGCAATAACTCTGCGAGTCAAACCATACTTCTTCTCGCGCGAGACCAAGGTGTCTAGCGGAGGTGACTGCAGCTGGTCACCATCCAAAAAAGCACGGATAGTCCGCAAGCCAGCCTGTCCACTCTTCTCTGGATGGAACTGCGTGGCGAAGATATTTCCCTTTGCTATCGCACCTATGAATTCCTCTTCGCCATATGTAGCTGTGGCAACCGACCAACCATCTTTCTCCAGCACACCAGGTGTGTAAAATGCTGCGTAAGAGTGAACATAGTAATATTTGCTGTCTGGGTTCAATCCACAGAAACTTTGGGCTCCTGAAGGACCAACACTGGTGTTCATAGCAGAATTCCAACCTATGTGAGGTACACTCTTCACACTGTCATCGAACTTTCGCATTCGCATTTGTATCAGCCCCAACCCGGGGACGTCAGGATCCTCCTCGGATCCTTCAAACAGTGCCTGTAGGCCGACACAGATCCCCATGAATGGTTTCCCGGAATCTATGTGCTTCTTTATCGGATCTAAATACCCGCCTTCTGAAAGCTGAGAGAGACAATGGCCAAAATGGCCAACTCCGGGCAGTATAAGTTTCTGCAATATGATTAACGCACTGCAGTTATAAACAAGCAAAATTTATCTTGACTGACGAAGGAGATATACTCACATCCGCATTCTTCAGATCTTCAGGACTTCTAACCCATTCAACATCATACCCAACTTTGTTAATTGCATTCACCAACGAACGGACATTCCCGGCAACATAGTCGAGCAGGTGGACGGTGGGCATGGCGGCGGGGTCGAGTCAGTTCCACTATTCAAGGGACTCGCTATGTCAAGGATGAAGACCCAATTACGAGACAATAGAAAATCCAGACTCCCTGATTTATTCTATCGTCTTTCCAGTGTCTTTTTAAGGCACAGAAGATCTTATTGGGGGGGAAGGGTTGTATCGGAGCTTCGAAAGAATGGGATCCTGTCTTCAATGCCCCACCAAGAGGTAGCTGACTCATAATCTACTGTAGCCTTTTTTTAACTATTCTCCCGGTAGTTGGGGCGCCGGCGGGGAAACTCTATCGGGTATACTTACCTTCCCTACTCCAAAGAATCACCGCCTTTACACGGTAGGAAGGTATCTTCTCTAGGGTGTAATGGGCCGTTTTAAATATTGTACGTGGTGTGCACTACAATGCTGTATACCTATCGTCCTGGGTATACATAATCAGAGGCCCAGAAGAAGTTAAACCCTTGACTTTTCTAATGAATTTCAAAGCTGTGATTTACGCTTACCCCCTTAACACCTCAGTACATATACTTTTGCTTATTGAGTACTTAGAGTCTAGCTACGCTAAATGTAGATGTGTGATCATTTCCAAGTAATCAGACGCTAGATAGTTGGTATCTGCCTCGGCTACGAATCTTATCTCAAGTAGATTTTGAGTCGACCATTACAGTCGTGGGAAATTTGCCATAATATCATCACAGCAATATCGCCTTCTCTGTATCACTAGATCTTGTCACAGAAATGATACAAGCCAAGATCATACCGGTAAAGTTTAGGGGAAATTTTCTTTCGGACTCTGGAATAAAGTGCTGTATCTGGTAAATTAACAAACGAATATTAGAAAACTATGCCTGTAGCCTATGATAGGCTTTTATAAACCATGCTGAAGTATACACAAGCCCATATTTAGTTGATGACCGCTCAAGTACGCAAAACCCCACTATGATAGCTGGCGGTACCATGAACTAGACTATCTGTACATGCATAGTATGACTGAATGATATATTCCCCAGTGAGACTTCAATTATACCTAGAATTGTCGAGGAAAGATGGTGTTAGCTGTTTTTGATCGATTTTTCTCTCAGATAGCAGGTTCAACAGCAACTTTAGAAGAGCAGTTGAGCATTTATGTCTCAACACTATCTGCTGAGTGCCCCCGTTAGAGGTTCTTCCTGCTCAACCGGAGAGCAGGTAAGCTTCCAACGTCCCTCTTAATCCAAAGTAAAGACATATTTTCCTGAGTGGCCCAGTCGAGGCTACTCTGGCTACTATAAAGGCGGTTGCTAGCTAAATTACACACAAATATTATCTAGAGGTATAGTATTGGTTACAAAACCTACCAATACTAGGCACCACTTGATAGAAACTCCGTTTTACTTAAGATCACGGTAGGTGGATGGATCATGACTGACTGTATAGATTGTATATACTGTACGCATCTGGTTGCCTTTGCCATCCCTGAAATCTTATTTAAAACTCTCCACGGTCCATTGTGCATCTAAGGGCTAGGCTCTTATGCAGAACAATCATTGCTTTATTTTAGTCGACCCCTCGAGATAGATAAGTCCGTTCCGAGGCTATTCGTCCGTGAGCGCTATGTAATAAACCGATAGAATAAGTACTTACGGGAGAAAACTGTCGAAGGCGAACACCAGCGGACTCTAGAATTGCAGCGCTCTGGGCTATGTTAGCCAAGATCAGCCGAGGATAAGGGTAGGGACAGACATCTTGATCCATATTATATCCCTGTGAGTATACGACTTCGGAAATGCCAACCTGGGCAATTTTGACTGTGCATGTCAAGCAAGGACACCTTTGCTCTTCTCTCAGTAGAGTTCAACCAGCTATATCAACTACATGAACCAAGGGTATCTCACGTGTCACAATAAAGTATCGTGCCCTCCCGTATGCGCTCCCTTCCAGCCTCTAATAGAGCGTTCTCTTCTGCATGAAGGCAAAGACACGTGGATAAACCGACACCTCCGCCCTCACCTCGGTTGCATCTTGGGCCTGTGGAAACGTAAGTTTATACACCAACACATTTAAGTATAGGCGGAAAGGAGAAGAAAAGGTGCGGAAGAAAGAAGAACTAAGAACAAAGGGTTGAAAAAATCGGGCACAGGGGCTAAATCCATACAGCCAGCCTCGTTGCAGTTTCTTAGATGTCGTGGAGTTCCGTTGTATCCAGTACTGATAACACGGCGTTCCCGAACAAGCACACAGCCCACCCTTCTCTTCATACAATTACTCCGCTGTGCGGCAAGAGATGCCAACTGCATGAAGTACTGATCCCAGTTTGGTCGTAAGCGCTCCTCATCAGCCAGGTTAAGCCCCATGAGAGCAGCATGCAGTTCCTCCAATGAAGCGGACGAGTTTAACAATCGAACCTGTGCCCGGTCGGTTAAATAGACACGCCCGATATTCTTATCGTACAGATGTCGATCATTCCAGAGTACAAACTTCTCGAGAGGCGGGGGCTCAAGCTGCCTCCTCCGACACCTGGAAGGAATTAGTCTTTCACGTCCGGAATCATATGTTTGCAACACAGGATGTAGTTAGAGTCTGACCTCTCTCCAAATCGCTGCCATCGGAGACTAACTGGTGCGTCAACGCTCACTAGGAGGAAAAACGGGCGTTGAAGAAAGCGATCTAAAGTAGCACTCTCCCAAATATCTGTAGTTACCCAGAGGCCTTGCCAATTTTTTGTTGCAAAATCTAGAAGCGATTCGGCACTTTCAAATAATAGCTGCGATGGCTGACTTCTCCCTTTACCCGTAAACTCCGACTCGTGTAGCCATCGATCATCCTCGAGCTCATCAACTATTCGAGGGAAACTTCTACTTTTGAGTTCGAGTAGCTGGAACCCTTGATGCTGGATGAGGTACTCTGCAATGGTGTGTTTACCAGAGCATATACCTTTAAGTACGCCATTAGTCTATGGTAAGACCGCGGGGAACATTTGACATAAGTCAGTAAAATATCTGCTAACCTCCACACAAGCCAATTAACATTTTTCTTATTGACTTTTTTCCTTCCCTGTCCTCTTTTTTTTTTATTTCTCGATTTTAATTTCGACCGGGCCAAGGGTATGAAGGGGTAAAGGCAATATATGTTTTAGCACATGAGGTATAAATGTAATTAACGTACGTAGTATGTCGGAAAATTTGATGGCGGTACTCCGTCGAGGCTAAGGTATATTGGACAACGTATGAGTCGAGACTAAAAGCACCTACCTATGGTTGAAGTGGAGCTGGCGTAGGAAACAAGTACGTAACTGGGAAATTTTGGTTCAGATACATCACTAGAGCAAATACATAGCTTCTCTGGTTATTCCTAAATATTCAAGCAAGTTGAAGTGATGTGCATATTTGGGTGGATACGTAATAGTTATACCACGTGTTGCTAATTGAACTATTGGGCAGAAGAAATTGATGAAAATAGCGATCTCGCTGAGAATAAGGAGTAATGGAAGATGCAGTACTCTCGTACTGATTAGAATTTGGTCAAAGAAAACACGGAAATTAGAAGGAAACCAAACAGATCCATGATATGAGGTCGTATGGTCACCCGATCTGTAAACGATCTTCTGATCTTAGACCTTAGATACTTTAATAAATGTGTATAATGAGACTGTGGTAATTGTCGTGATTGACCTCATACATCAGCTCTCTAACTTACTAGTAATTTTACTACCTATGATACGGTATAGTTTGTACGTGTCTACTTGGTAGTACCGGCTCCGCTGCGTTGCGGGAAAGGTCGGCATTCCCCACTGATGTTTCTCTCTCTTGGGGCGCTTCCCGACGCCCTGTCTTTAAATCGGTTCATTAATAGAAAGAAATTTGTTTCCAGTTGTCATTTTTTTGTGCCCAGGGTACATACAGAACATACAAGGTTATCTGGTACTAGTGTACCGACCATATACTCACTGTAATGTGCTCCGTATACCTGTACACGTGTCATTTATTATCAGTCCGTGATCTATATTTCGCCCCACCATGATATCTACGTCTTATCAATACCTACCTTGCTACCTCCCCATGCTACCTTGACATGTAGTCAAATGAACATTAGGTACTAGAGGAGTTCTATAAATTATTTCTTCGGTATTCACGGGATCTTTTTCGTCTGGTACTACATGGTTACCGTCCTTCGCCCATTCAGGGCTACTCCTTACTAGTACACAAGAGCAGGGCAAACGGCAAGGCCAACTTGCGCAACAGATACTATGCAGTATACACCATTTGCCTCGGATATAGAGCTCCCATTTTACACCGCATTAGCTTCCTTGAAAATAAATCATGACAAGCTTGACGACTCCGCCCGCAAGATAATGGGCCTCTATGAGATTCGCTCAACAGACCCTCCTAGCAGCTCATGTCGGATGCAAATACACGGAAATGCTCTAACCAGTGACGAGTGAGTGCTTTATCATTATATAAGTGTTGCGCCTTCATATTTATTAAGGCGCACTGAATGGAACAGAACAAGCACAAAGTAACATGGTCCAGGGTACCCGCGGGTTTCTACAGAGCCGAAGGATTGATTAGGAATGTCAATACTATCGAGGAATATCGAAATGCAGACAAAACACTTTTACTCCACCTATCTGGTAGAATGGTCAGTTTAACCATGCATGGTGTTTCGCAGGGAAATATTGACAATGTCTACTAGATATGGGATGCGATAAAAGATGGCACCATATATTCGTGTCCATCATTATTGTCATCTTTTGCCATTCTTTCTTATGCGGACCTGAAGAGGTACAAGTTTCATTATTGGTTCGCATTCCCTGCAATTCATTCGGATCCTCCCTGGGCCCCACTAGGAGCAACTAATGATACCGCCCACTCCAAGCCCTCTGAAAGGGAATATGTACCTTTTGCATACTTATCAAGTGCTGAAAGTTCAACCCTTGTGGAGGCAGTACACACCTGGAGCTACGGCACTGACGCACGCCAGCGAGGTTTTTTTTTAGCTCGAAGGATCTTAGCTACTAGTGGCAAAGCCAATAAGGGCCCTACTAAACATACAGATTCCAAGCCGGGAAAGGAGAACGCAGCAGAGGCGGAGGGTGGATGTTGGAGGGTTGCTACCCTTTCAGATTATGAAAATGGCTTTTTTGACGGAGCCAACTTTGAAGACTGTTATGTCTGCTTCGTTGATCCCTCTAATTACGAAAATGCACCTGGCTGGATGCTGAGGAACCTGCTGGTGCTTGTAAAACATCGGTGGGGATTGGGTAAAATCCAAGTTCTGAGATACCGCGATGTGCATTCAAAGCGTGACCAAGGCCGCAGCATCGTGGTAACATTAGCGGAGAAGAATCAACCAACATTAGGGCTGAAGGCGCCAGACAATCTTATGCCCAAAGTAACCGGTTGGGAACGCAATCCAGCAGGGAAATTGACAGGGAGATTGGTTGACCTAACGGAATATCTGGATCCCCGGAGGTATAGTTTCCTGAAATGAAACTAACTGAAATGAAGTGTAGCTGATTTCGTACGACGGCTAGGTTGGCAGATCAGTCTGTAGACCTCAACCTCAAACTCATGAAATGGAGAATCAGTCCCAACCTAGACCTTGAAAAAATCAAGCATACAAAATGCCTCCTACTTGGTGCAGGCACTCTTGGAAGCTATGTTGCCCGGAATCTGATGGTATGTATGGTCCTAGTAGTGATATACTATGTATGAAGAAGACTAATTGCATCTATCTAGGGTTGGGGCGTTACCAAGATAACGTTTGTCGACAATGGGTCGGTATCTTTCTCGAATCCAGTGAGGCAGCCGCTGTTCAACTTTAAAGATTGTTTGGAAGGCGGGGCTAAGAAGGCGCACCGGGCATCTCAAGCTTTGTCGGAGATTTACCCAGGGGTTGAATCTACCGGATATGCTCTATCAGTGCCGATGGCTGGCCACCCCGTATTAGATGCTGAAAAAACCCGACAGGAGTTTGAGCAACTTGAAAGATTGATAGATGAGCATGATGTTATCTTTCTTCTGATGGATACACGAGAATCCCGCTGGTTACCAACTGTCATTGGAAAGGCAGCGGGGAAAATTGTGATGAATGCAGCGTTGGGGTTTGATTCTTTCGTTGTCATGCGTCATGGCGTCAAGGTTGCAGAAGACCCAGCAGCTGAGCTCGGTTGCTACTTTTGCAATGATATTGTTGCGCCAGTGAACGTGAGTGATAAACCGTGGATTTAGTCCTGTAAACACCGCTAATCTTACTAGTCCATGAAAGACCAGACGCTGGACCAACAGTGCACTGTGACTAGGCCTGGCGTGGCTGCGATAGCTTCAGCCTTATTGGTTGAGCTACTAATTTCCGTCCTTCAACATCCTCTAGGTGCTGCAGCCCCGGCTCCGGCCTCAAGGAATGACGATCGAGGGAGTCATCCCCTAGGGCTTGTGCCACATCAGATTAGAGGTTTCCTTTCAACATTTGAGAATCTATGCGTAGTGGGCAGGAGCTACAAATGCTGTAGCGCTTGCTCAGAAAATATTGTTGACACGTACAAGGAGAAAGGCTGGGATTTTGTGCAAAAAGCTTTGAATGACACTGGATACGTGGAAGACCTAAGTGGTCTAAAGGAGGTCGGTACCCCTTTTCTCGTTTCTTTCTTTCTTCCCTTTGCCTTCTATCTTAAGACAAATGCTGAGGCTCTACAAGGTTCAAACAATCGCTGAAGCCACAGCTGCCGACATTGAGTGGGATGAGATCTCTGGAACCGATGATGAGTTAGAGGCTATGTGAACTGACGGATGATGTTACGTACTCTTTTTTCGAGGCTAGTCTTTTGAGCTGGTAGGCTTGTGCGGAAAAAATTTTTTTTCAAGGGGACGTGAGCACTTCATGCCTCGTTGCGTGTTGTTTGCGTGCGAGACCAATGAAGTAGGCTTCCTTAGATTCCTAGCAACCAGGTTAGTGAAGCTAGACTCGGCTTTTTATGATCACCCGCCGATGTGTCTGATACATTACGTGAAGACTCCGGTTTAAGTCTATGTACTTTCTGGAACAGCCGCTTGAGCTGCTTCTCTAAATCTTTGTCTTCGGCTCCCTGGTAGAACTTGCAAACAAAGTGGCCCCCTGCCTTTAAGACTTCGAAACTGAACTGTAGCGCAGCTCGGCAAAGGTCCTTTCTTAGGTTAATTAATTACGTACCAGACACATCGGATGCAACTCAAAATAAGGAACTCACCATGCTTCCCGCATGATCTCTGAAACTCATGCCACTAGTATTCATCATCCTGTTATACGGATCACTTAGACTTCTCTTCCAGAATCCAGAGGTTTGATACCAGGGGTCAGACATATCGCTTAGAACCACGTCCACGGTTCTTTTACCAGTCAGGAGGCAAGGCTCTTCTATCTCTTCGCAGTTGTTGATGGGGTTTTTCGTATCCACATCCAATCCAGACGCCTCATGGCCTAGGCCGACATGCGGGATTATGCCTGGGCGGTGCTGTTGGCCCCTTGTTGGATCATGCAGGAAGTTTTGGACATAGGCCTGGATGCTAGGATCTAAAAAGTTTCCTTGAATCGTAGATACGCCCTTTGGAGGCTGAGCAGGGATGATATCAACTCCAAGGACGCGACCGTTTCGCCCAGTCCGACTGACTGCCACCTTTCAGGAAGTTAGATAGTTACAGAGTAAGACTTATGGTTAGGTGACGTACCTGGGACCACGAACCCGGTGCATATCCCTATTATCGGAGTATAAATAAGGCGAACAACTAACAGGGTTATGTCGGTTTTCTCCAACCGTGGCTGCCATACCAAATCGACAACAGTCTGCCCGCTGTGGAAAATGTGATATTTCGCATCTATCTATCCAGGTGGGGAGTTGTTAGGGTGAAAGTATACATATGCAAGAGATTTTGATGCTACACCTGAATAAGTTTAAAAGCAGCTCGACTTTTCAGCCCTTGAACTGTTGCCTCTCTTGTAAAATGATCCTTGAGTTGACGTGCTTGCCATCTCTTCGAGGAGGATAGTCGCTTTAAAGTGAATGGAGAAAATGCAAGAGCACTTTGCGACCGTGAAGGCACTTTTAGAAGTAACCACATATTGTTATCGAGGGGTGTATCGTTGAAGTTCAAGGTTGGCTGTAATATGAATTGGTTACCTGGTGTATAGAAATACAATAGCTGACCCAAATATATATAGCAAGGGGTGATGGGAAGATAGGCGCGGCCGGCTTATAACTTCAAATTACTAGGGGTCTGATACCACCAAGAGGGATCTTATCGAGCAACCAAGAAAAAAAGACCTCTGAATCTTTGTCACGCAACCTGGTTCTTCGCTTTGCCTTGCCCTCTTCTCTTCAATATAAAAGCCTACTAGTTCCGAGGTGAAACAGTGAGATTAAATTAATTGGGTTCACTCTAGCTTGTGACAGTGAAGCTGGACTAAAGCCGTTTCTTGTCTCGCTTCAAGGGAGAAAATTCACCCAGCCCAACCAACCCGCGACCGCGTCCAAGGCGACCGCCACTTGGAGCAGATACTTGGGAAGCAAGATTTCGCCCTGTACCGCCTAAGACCAGCTTCCGACCTGGCCGTCTGATGTCATGAGTATCTCCATCGTCTTCGTCGTCGAACAAGCCCATGTCGCGTTGGGTCCCCAGCTTACGTTTCTTTGATTTGGGTTGCCCATGTTTAGAAGAGTGGGTAAATATACCGCTGACATTTTCCATTCGTCCCTCATGATCTGAATTGTCTACCAAATTTCTCTGGAGTTGTCCCCCTTTTCTGCTGTTGGTGATACCATTACCTAGACGTAATGTGTCCACGGTGACAGGTATCTCATCAACCGACACCCTCTGACCCTGATACTTAGGGTCAATGCCTTTTTGAATATCATTTCCAGAGGCCTTCTCATTTGCTCCACCGGCCATATGGATTGCGTGGAGCTCATCTGTATCATCCTCAGAGCTTGTAGCTGAATTTTGAAGCCCATTTGTTCGGTTTAGAAACGGAGTGATCGAAAATGACGACTTCTCGCCGGGCAATGTTGATGTTTTACTTCTTTTGTCTTGGGCACGAATAGCTCCAGGGGTTGCAATTGTCAGGCCAGAGTTGTGCTGTGTAGTGGACTGTGCACTGGAGGTTTTTTTAGACTCGTAATTAGTAGTGGTGCCATACTGCCGTCTAAGTTCCGTAGCTGCGGCCTGGTATTGGTCCTTTGTTGAACGTAGCTTCTTATTTAAGGTATCAAGCTTGGCATCGAGGGCCGCTCGTTGGGCAGCCCATTCGATACTCTGTTGTTGAAAGACACGCTCACGTCCATCCCGCGCCCGCGCCTCCGCCATGAGTTCACTGCGCGCTTCTTCAAGGCTTGAGTTAAGCGCTGCGATTTGTTCTGCATTGTGCGATTGCTTGGCTAGTGTTTGTTCGTGGGCACTTTTTTCGCTTTCGAGTTGAGACTCAAGGGTTGTCACCTGTTGTTCGAGATTTCGCTTCCCGGCAAGGAGTGTATGTTGAGAAGCCTTCTGAGACTTTAGCCTTTCAACCTCTGCCTCTGCATTCGAGAGTATCATTGAGAGATGGCATCTTTCTGCGAGGAGCTTCTTCGTATCGACAGAAGCATTTGTCAGGGAGCCAAGCTCAAGCTATGTTTGATATTCAGTATGAGCCGTTTCACATGACATTTTCATGAGCAACATACACGAAGTGTCTCTATTTCATGGGACGACGCGCGGTGCGCACTTTGTAGCTGATCAAGCTCGTGGTAAGTTGCTTGGAGCTGAAGACGGACCTCAGATTCCGCCCTTGCAGTTTTAGTCAATTCCTGATTGACATGATTCAACTGCCACCGCAAATTCTCATTTTCAAATTGAAGGAGCAGTTGTTCCACGCGCAGTAGCCGGTTTTTCTCAGCATTAAGAAGCTGCGCCGTGTGTACCAGGGTGTCGTCATATGCTTTTTCTAGGTGCTGTGTTTTAATTGCCATTCGACACTATAGACAGGGTAAGTCTGTAAACCGCAATGGGATCAAGATGACAAACACACATCTTCTACCATGCTCCCAGGATCTTTGCTACAAGATTCCATAACAATGAAATGTAACTATAATCGCGAATTATGATATACAAATGAATACTAAGATTGCTGGGTGAGGTTCGTGTTTAGCCTAGATAAATGAGTGAACAAACACTAGATGCCAGGAGACCTTTCCATCCGCTGGCATGAATGACAGACGACCCAGGAAAAACTAGCGCCGATCATTCCGCAGTACTGGACACCTAATACATCCTACTACAAACGATGATCGCTCCAGACCACTAATGGAACCTGGCCACTGTCTTCCAGTACATGGATCGTTCCATTGTATGCCACCCATTGATTTGTTGGCAATTGACCTTTGAAAACACCACATTCCTGCTGTAGTGTTATATTCTTGACATGTCAACATGAAATTGTTTACTCTCATCGTCGCACTCTTCTATATTTTATCTAGCGCTTGCGCGAGCCCGGAGCTCGGCAAGTTCGAAAGATATCAGTCTCTCTCTCGATCCATTCCCATCGATCTGGATGACTCGTCGTATGAAGACTTGACATCAAAGCCTCGCGACTACCACGTCGCGGTACTTTTGACGGCTGCTGAAGCTCGCTATGGGTGCATTTTATGTCGCGAGTTCCAGCCAGAATGGGAGCTCATCTCGCGAAGTTGGAACAAAGGTCCTAAACCTGATGGCCTAAAAATGCTATTCACCACCCTTGACTTCAGTAATGGCAAAGCAACTTTCCAAAAGGTGAGCTGATATTGATCATTTACAGTACTGTTGGCTAATACCAGGGGGAAAAGCTAATGCTCCAAACTGCGCCGGTTCTTCTTGTGTTTCCTCCAACTGTTGGCCCCTTTGCTAAAGTTGATGATGCGCCCATTAGATTTGACTTTAGTGGGTAAGTGTACACTTAAACGTTTTTTGTTGAGGTACTGCTGTGCTAAATGGTTATATTCAGTCCAATCTCTGCTGACCAGCTTTACGTGTGGATCAATCGTCATCTTCCGGAGGGGCCGAAACCACCTCTTGTTCGTCCCATTAACTACATGCGACTCATTTCTGCAGTGACAATCTTAATGGGCGTGTTGACCTTGTTCACTGTTCTGTCGCCGTATGTTTTACCGGTCATACAGAATCGTAACTTGTGGGCCGCATTCAGCTTGATTTCCATACTTTTATTCACAAGCGGCCACATGTTCAATCATATCCGCAAAGTACCGTATGTTGTTGGCGACGGCAAAGGTGGCATTAGCTATTTCGCCGGTGGATTCTCAAATCAGTTTGGAATGGAAACGCAGATCATTGCTGCCATATGTAAGTACGGCTAACTGACAGCCAACGCAATATTGAATGTCTATGTTCCTGCTGCTGATGCAATACCGTACAAGATGCCATCCTTTCCTTTGCGACAATAGCTCTCGCGATGAAAGTACCCCGTATCGCGGACAGTAAAGCGCAGCAAGTGGCTGTGCTAATCTGGGGAACTGTATTATTTGGTATGTACAGCTTTCTTCTGAGTGTCTTCAGGGCAAAAAATGGCGGATATCCTTTCTTCCTGCCCCCATTTTAGTTCAAGTCGCAGTCGCAACGCCTATCGCCTCTTCCACCAGAGTTTGCCCAATGATTGCAGTGAAAAGAACTGGAACAAGCTGAAGGCTTGGACTCGGCGATTACTTGGGCCAGCAATACCTGATTAGGGCATTTCGAGCTAGGAAATGAACTTTAAGAACAACTACCTTCCGGCTTTCTCGATGGTAACGAGGTGTACTAGTGTTGCATCCTGGCTATGTACCCCTCAACGCGCATGTGTATAATTATAGCTAGCTAGAATAAGGTTAGCTGATGCTGTCAAACACGTAGAACTTTTCCATATAGCGGCTGCTTTCATCGAATACATTGTTGTCCATGCCCTCTTATTAGATGAAAATATCTAAAGATTTTGATTTCATCCAAGCCACGTGGACTTGCAGGAAAAATTAGCTCCGGCTCCGGGTGTCTTGGCGCCTTTATAGTAATAGTCTTTCACCATGTGGTAAACCTTGCTTCAATTCAGAAGACTGATACGTTGAGCTACATGTCATCATGTCCCAGTCAGGCGAAAATGTTGACAGGATTCTGGCTTCATCGGTATCTGGTATGACGTTCTTGATCATTGTTCAAATAGCCTCTAGACTGTTTACATTCATCGCGAATCAATTGATCCTACGGACTCTGTCCCCGGCAATACTTGGGATTGGTACTCAACTGGAGTTGTATTTCATCTCGATACTATACTTCTCCAGGGAAAGCATCAGAACAGCGATTCAGCGACAACCTTTCCATGAAACATCTGCTACTGCTAACCACGATGGGAGCCATCGTCAAATAAGTGGCAAACTAAGTCGAACGAGTCAACCCCAAACAATATCTTCGCAATCAGTAGTGAACATGTCGTATCTGAGTATCAGCATGGGGGTTCCATCGGCTTTTATATTCGCCACATTGTACACACAGTTTGCTTCCCAGGAAGTTTCTGAAACGCCTTTCTATCTACCCGCCGTTACGATCACCACAGTTGCATCCCTTACGGAGCTTTGCGTTGAGCCTTTCTTTGCCGTGGTGCAGCAGTATACGTTGTACAAGAAGCGCGCAATAGTGGAGACAGCTGCAGCATTTATGAAGAGCTTAACCGTGTGTGGTTTATTTACATGGGCCTCTTGGAAAGACCGAGACTTGGGTGTCCTTCCTTTCGCTCTGGGTTACCTTTGTTACTCTTTGTCTCTTATTAGTGGGTATTATCTAACCATACCAAAGTTAACAAGTCGATGGCGGTTCTCGTTGCTCCCTACCAAGATTAGATCAAGGTACGTCAGCAGTTAGGTGGAAAGGGCAATGATTCGATCATGGTAACACTTTCTAGTGATAAATCAATTTACCTAGCCGATAGGTTCCCAAGGCACCTAGTTACACTTTCCACAAATGTCTTTTTCCAGTCCATCGTAAAACACCTCTTGACTCAGGGCGACGCAATGATTCTGGCAGCAATGACGAGCTTGAAAGACCAAGGTATATATTCTTTGGCCTCAAATTATGGCGGCCTGATAGCGCGTGTTCTGTTCCAGCCTATCGAAGAAAACAGCCGAGCTGTGTTCTCCTCTTTGCTCAACTCTGGGGAACAACATGCAAGCAATGTCAGTGCAGCCAAGGCACATCTAATTGAAATTTTACAAGCATATGTAATGCTAGCTGTTTTCATATTCCCTTTGGGACCGTATCTGGTTCCCCGAATACTACCTCTTCTGGGCGGACATAGGTGGGCTTCTCCAGATGTCGGTAGCTTACTTTCACTCTATTGCTATTATATACCATTCTTGGCATTCAACGGTATAACTGAGGCATTCGTTTCGTCTGCAGCTAGTGCTTCTGACCTTCGGAGACAGGCTTACTGGATGGGGGCGTTTTCAGCGAGCTTTGCTTTAGCAGCTTACCTATTTCTGAAAATTGGTGGCTTGGGTGCCCATGGACTAGTCTGGGCTAACATTATCAACATGGCAGTTCGTACCGCCTGGAGTTTCACATTCCTCCGGTCTTACTTTTATTTGCACGGCAATAGCCTAGCTCTGGCTGAATTCTGTCTACGGCCTCAAACATGGATTGCTGGGGCTCTATCATCGATAATCCTGGCCAGACAAGGACACGACGATACTGCCTATCGTAACTTTGTGAAGGCATTGATGTTTTGTACTGGTTACAGCCTGTTGATGTAAGTCGAAAAATATCACACACCATGGCTAAGCTCTAACTAGTATAGTATTCTCCTCGAAAGAAAGTACCTTACAACACGATACACATATATTCGCCGGATAATCAAGTCTAGGAGTGCGAGAGTAAAGACAGAATGATGTGAAGAACTAGTCGTCGAACACAATTTTTGTGGCTGTCTTGTCAGTGTCGACATTTTTGAAGAATGCACCATATGCATCATGTTGCTTCTTCTTAACAGTTGTTCCAAACTTAAGGAGGTCTTCTGGTATATCCTGTTTTGCTGCTCTGAGGACGTTGATCAATCTGTGGCTCATTAGTGAAAGCTCCTCACCCAAATAATTCTACTGGTGGAAGGAGAGAGTTGGGGATGAGGGCACACTTACGCGCCAGACTGAGCTTTATCTGTCTCGGTAAATAGGGTCACAGCATGTCCGTCAGCTCCAGCACGACCAGTCCTGGACGAAAGATGTCAGATACTTCCACAGATTCAAAGCGTGCTACTTACCGCCCAATTCGATGTACATAATCCTCAACCGTAAGCGGGAATGTGACATTAATGACCTGTTTGACCGAAGGTATGTCAAGTCCACGAGCTGCAACGTCAGTAGCAACGAGGACAGTAGCTGCTCCTGTTTTGAAGGCATCTAAGCTTCGAAACCTCTCCTGCTGACTCAAGTCCCCATGTATTCCTGCGACTTTAAATCCCTTTGTACGGAGAAGTCTCTCAATCCGCACGGCTTCCTTCTTGTACAAGCAAAAGGCTAGCACTTTTGCTGGCTCAGGAACCCCTCGCTGGGACCTATTCAATAATTGGATAAGTCGAGTCTCTTTTTCATGCGGCTTGACAACCTCCACAACTTGCTTGATCCTGGTGTTCGCTCGCGGGTCAGCAGATGGATCACCTCCGATGGTGACAGTCACAGGAGACGTCATGAAAGTTGACGCGAGGTCCCTGACACTTGGAGGCCAGGTTGCAGTGAACATGATGGTCTGGCGCTTAGATACCGGCATTGGACGAATGATGTCCTTGATATCTTGTTCAAAGCCCTTGTCCAGCATGCGATCCGCCTCGTCTAGAACCAGGTACTTCACTTTTCCTAGGTCTACCGAACCATCATTTTGAAGATCCTTCAACCTTCCAGGGGTCGCAACAACCACCTCTGCGGTTTTAAGAGCCTCCCGTTGTTCCTCCTTTCTCACGCCGCCGAATACACAAGCCACTCTGACGCCCACGGACCCTGAGAACTTCAACAATTGGTCGTATATTTGCATCGCTAGTTCCCTCGTTGGAGATATTATTACTGCCAAAGGTCGATAAGGTTTCTGTTTGGTCGTCACTGAGTCCTGTATTTTCTTTAGACACGGCAACCCAAAGGCAAGTGTCTTTCCACTTCCAGTTTCTGCGATGCCAATGACATCACGACCAGCGAATAACAACGGCCAGGTAGCAGACTGAATCGAAGTTGGTGATTTGAATGAGCTCAATGGCGCATATAGGTCATCTTTGCGAGGGGGAAGGTGAGAAAATGAAATGATTGGACGCATTACGTTCTCAGATGATGTATCTGTTATCTTAATAGAGTTTTCCGTAAGGAATTTCTCGATTTCGGACTGTGAGACATCATCCAATGCAGGAGACTGGACGTAAGAGGGTCTCTGTTCAGCGCTTGATTTAGACTTCGCAGATTTTTCCTTCTTCTGCTTTTCACTCTTCGCCTTTTTCTTGGGCCTTTGCTCATCGCCTCCTTCATTGTGAAGATCACGTTTAGTCATTATACTAATCCTCTTTTCACTTTGAATAGAGACGAAAGAGTAATCGAAGAGGAAGAAGAGGAAGAACAAGTATTTGGTCAAAAAAAAATTGAGTCGTGACCACTTTGTTTCTATATATCAATGGGATAGTTTTTTCTCTGTCCATCTGGTTTTTTTTTTATCTTCCGTGATTTTGCCATGTGTCACCGCCAAAAAGTAAAACTTTGTTGGATTGCAACTACATAAAAAAGCTACTACTGAAAGTTAGCGACTGTTCAGGTAGTTCAATCATCCAAGCATTTCCGCATTTCAAGTAGACTCAAGCAATCTAATTAATCCGAATAATCTATAACTATCCCCATAAAGTCTATTCAATTTACTAAGAAAGACTGTTAATACTCAACTCCGCAGTATTAAAACTAGAAACCAAGCGTTAGGCTGCACTATGCACGCGGGACAGTGGGTGATTTATCATCACGTGAGGACCGACTGTGGTACAATGTCAACCGTAGCCCGTCACTACTATGAACCAGTGAATCAATTTATATGTACAGTAATACTTAAGAGGCCGCAGCCGCCTAACCTAGTTCGCCTGTTTAAGCGCAGCATGTTATACCTACTATCTGCGATGCTACGGTCCGTACGGAGTTTATAACACAGGAATATCCAGAAAAGTTAATCAATTCTAAAGTCTACTCCAGAGTAAGCTGAGCGAGAAAAGCAAGTGTTTACAGTCTGTTTTTATATAAGACCTAATTCTGTGACTACAGTGGGGAGCAATTGAAATTTATAACACCCGTATAAGGTTTAGTGGCCGATTTAGGGACCGCCTACTAAACTAGGTCTATTCTGCTGGGCAGAAACCTCATGAAGTCCTATCCTAGTACTTAGTATACCAGTCCTAGGCCTCAATGACAGACTTTACACGGTGAGGCATAGTCTGGGAAAGGTGTACATAAACCCGCTGTTCTATAGTCTGCCGGCTTCTTTATCTGTGTGATCTTATTCAACTACACGCGCGTGTTTGCCTCAGTCCCGCTTACTATGGTAAAAATGGTAGGCGGTAGGACGGGTGCACGGCCCCCTCCCAGGGGTGTTATAAATTTCAAATACCACACACTGTACCTCGTGATGATAACGTTTTCTGGTGAATGAGGGGATAACATAGCAGAAAGTCGAGCATGGCAGGGAAGATATTAGACATAAAGTGGATTTTACGCCCATTTAGCCTTTCAAGTATCTGTCTATTACTACTGTACAAGGTACGCAATAAGTACTAAGCTATAGGGGAGATCTCACGTACTAACGTATATGAAGGTACATACGTGCCTGAGGTACTAGGCAAGTATGATTTCCTTCCTATATAATGACAGTAGAACAAAGGTAATTTCTGATTTCCTAGCATAAATCCACAAGCAAAGATGAACACAGGCCAGCCGTGGAAGTTGAGGGCAGCATATCGATATTGTTAGAACAAAATATTGACTCAAGTCTTAGTCAATTGTACAGATCACTTTGCCCTTAGTACGGTTGCTCTCTAGCAATTTATGGGCATCTGCAATATCCTGAAAGGGTAAAACCTTCTCGATGAAGACTGTAAAAGTACCATCCCGGAACTTTGGCAGTGCATGCTCGACCAGTAAATCACGCAATTTCTTCTGGTATTCCTCATCCCGGCTTCGGAGAGTACTACCTTCCAACCTTACCCTCTTTCTCAGGAGGCTGCCGATATCGACGCCTGCAGGGAGGATTGAACCACTCATTTGTCCCAACTGAACTATACGCGCATCCTGAGCGGCAACATTCAGGTTACCTTGAAAATGTGTTGCGCCCACGAAATCGATGATCACGTCAACACCCCGATCATCTGTTGCCTTTAATAGTTCAGATGCCCAATCCTGGGTTCTATAATTGTATCCGGCAGTGACACCCAGCTTATCAAGACAAAAGTCGATCTTCTCCTGGGAACCTACGGTCACGAACACGGCAGATGCGCCGTCACTTTTAGCGAGCTGAATGCCAGCTATGGAGACAGATGAAGCGCCTGCATGCCAGAGAACCGAATCCCCTGGTTTATATCCACCTATCAAGTATAGGGCTTGAGTAGCTGTTATCCAAGTCTATGGCCAGCAAGCTCTCATCAGTGACCATTCATGGCTATCATATTTCGGACAACCTTACTTCAGGAATCCCAGCTGCCTCCTCCCACGATAACTCCATGGGCTTGTGTATTAACATATGCGTTGAAACAGTAATGTATTCCGCATAGGCACCTGTGACTCCTTAGCCAGTGATACAGCAGGAAAAGGTCCTTACCCAACGTATTGCAACGTACCACCGTAAGCTAGCCCAAACACTTCATCTCCAAGCTTGAAGCTAACCTCGGGGTTTTGGCCGAGCTTCTCAATCGTCCCGGAGAACTCAACACCCATGGTACTAGGCGCTTGGGGTGGTACCGGGTATTTACCCTCACGCTGCAATATATCCATCCTGTTCAGTCCGAAAGCCTTGATTCTGACTAATGCTTGGGCCTCCCCAGGTTCAGGAACCGGTATGTTATTGATAAATAAGGCATCGGCACTCCCTTTCCCGTCTTTCACATCTTGAAAAGTGTTAACATGGCAGATTCTAGTACAGAGATGAAACTACCAACCGATTGCTCTCATCATTTCGACCGCCATGGTTTGCGCTAGATATTTTCGCGGCGTTTCGTCTGACCAGCTCACGTCTTTTAAAGAGGACAGCTGGGTCTAGTACAAAATGAAGCAGTCTTTCTATTAGTTAGCTATTGGTGCCCTTTAATTTGTCATCTTAACTTTATGATTAGTAAGTTTGTCCGGGTAACTATGTTTACAGCATCCGAGTGTCCATCAAGAAGTTCAACGCCGAATTCTCTGCAATAACTCAGTAGAATACAATACACGGTAGCAATTTTCTAGATATGTGGTATATTGATGACAGCTGCGAGGTCATTGTATCTGGAATTGACTACGCCAACCGACCAACCCGAAGCTGCAGAATTACAGGTCAAACCCATACGGACTAACAGCGAAGACTACGTAGACGTTCTACGGTAGTTGACTTTCGAATTCTAATATTGCACAAGCAGGCTACCCGACCAATTTTACATACAATTGCATATGTGAAGCGATGTGTCACTAAATTAAATGCTCTGCTCTTATAAAATGTCCAAGTTTTGCGTCATTTAGCCACGGTATTAAAGCTACGAGAATAATCCAAACTATTTCATCCGAATTATCTGGCCGCAAAGAAATTGCGGGCCCACAAAGTCATGTGGATAGAAGGGATGTGGTTGTCACAGTCTGGTAAACCGCAGATGGAGCAATGTGACATACTAATGTTAACATTATGCAAAGTAAAAAGCAGGATGTGTTGTGTATTAAGCTCCGTCGTATGCACATGGGATTCTGATCACGCCTCCTGGAAGGCAGAGGCATTCTTCCCCAGGCGCAGTCCAGTTGCGTGTGATCAGTGATAAATATGCACGGGCCACGACCACCAGCCAAAGTACCGAGTCAGCTATGTATCACGAAATACTATATGAATCGATCGTGTTTGCAAGGCGCAGTGCCTCTTCTGAATAATTGACTGGTTTCGCCGTTACTATCTGATAGCGAATGCTAAAAGTTTCAAGAAATTAGTGTTCTGTGCCAAGCCTCTCTCCAGTAATCTATGGCCTTACCGTTGTTGATCGCCAAAATTGTCAATCTTGGCCCGACATCTGAAATTCCAAGTTCGGCAATTCGCATCCTGGAAAATATCTCCAGCAGCTTTTTCATCGTTCTGGCGTATCTCCATGAGCTGGTCTGCGGAAAGGCCCATCATGCACCTGCCCACTTCATCGAAACAGCTGAGATATAGTTGACCAGTATGATCGCTAACGCTGATGAGCATTATATAGCGATACTCTGGTCGTGGATGAGTTTTATCGCAACGTTCACACCGCCATTGGCCAGGATCAAGCTCTGTTACTTTTTTATTGCAACCCTCAGAAAGACAGGCAGGATAGCACATGGTATCTTGCTTGATGTAGATGACAGTCGCCTTCAGTGAGAAATAGGCCACCTCATCTGACATACCTAATTGCTCGTCTTTGACCTGTGCGACAGTTTTGAACTGTTCGAGTTTTGCAGTAGATGCGGCTACACCAGGCATTGAAGCATGTGAGGCAAATACTCCATCTCGGCCTTGGGCGTCGTACCAACCCTTCAATTTATGGGCTTCCTCAATATCAGGATCAACCGTCATTGAACCTGAACTCAGCAAGCTTAAACTTCTACCTCCAAAGTCAGACACTTTCACACCCTTGAACGCTATTACAGACTCGGGAGTCACGTTGAAATTCAGCGCAGTTGATCCCCAGACAGTCAGGCGAACAGAGAATCCCGTGCTATCCACCAATGTAAGCTCACGTTTGTTATAAGGCTTGTTGGTGGTCTTGGACATAATTTGAGAAACCTCAGCAACCTCTTTCAGTACTCCAATTACATCGATGGTGGTATCCTTCTCGACAGACTGCAAGTCACCGATAGTTGAAAAGCTGAATCTAATTTGTGGAACGTCGGCTTGATCCTCTGCCTAAAGGGAAATAAGACCAGGCAACGTAGGGCGAAGAGGGCATTGTACTGACCTTTTCAACAACCGTGTCCCTGTCGAATGTGAGTTCATAGTCATTGTTCAGATTGGTAAATTGTTTCTTGGCAATCTTAACGCTGCATGGGCTAGAGATGTAATAAACGCTGCCCTCCTGGAAAACGTCGTAGAGCATATCACACTGATCATTGAACCCAGTCGCACGGATCTCGCCGCTGTCGTCCAGTAAATTGACGCTGAAGAGCTTACCATCTCCATTCCTGTTATGCCAGGTCCTAATATTTGACTTGCTCGTGCACCGTGCCTTGATAGTCCATTTGTGAGAATAAGGAGAGATAGCTTCGATGGGGTAAATGGTTGTATGTGCTGAAGCCGCTGCGGGCTGTGGCTGCGCTGATTTGCTGGGCGCTTGTGGTTGTCCACCTTGGATTTTGGAGCCATAGAATCCGTTGCTCGATATCGTAGTAGGCTGGGGCTTTTCATCCTCTTCCGTCTTACTCTCTAAAGGCTTGGGCTCTCCAATTTTCTCAGCCTCGCCTAAGTCCTGCAAGACCTCCAGATCCAAAATTATAAGAATCCTATCCATGTCAGTCAAAACATGTAGAAGGGGTTAACTTGTGGTCTCACTTTTTCCCCTTCACCGAATTCGCCTGGAAAGACTTGAGCCTAACGAAACACCCTTTCCGGAGTTGCCCACTAGTAACGAATCGATTGGCTTCTGCTGAACAATATCATCATTAGCAGCATATCCCAGATGTGACAGGGAATAACATTCAAATGTTAGTAGAACTTACGGGTTGCTAGCATTGTCTGGACATAATTGGATATATCACTGAAAACGGCTCTGTAGCGCTCTTGATTGTTCTGCTGAGGTGGCAATGGTTTGATCTGGACGCACTGAACAACGGGCTCGCGTATCTGGGGCTTTGTTTCATCGAAGATTGCACTTTGAGCAAGTTAATAGATAAGACAAAGTAAGAAGTCACATAATATGGATATACCTTAAAGCACCAACGGAAATCTGGGATGCTGCGTCGGAGGCCATGACAGCAGTTACGTCGTCTCAAAATCAGGCCTTTTTACCTGGCAAAGAAAAAGAACAAGTCCACGGATAAGCAAGAGAAAAGCTTCAAGACCCGTTTTGACCTGAAGTAACTCCTAGATGTGCAAAATGCAATGATGGGTGGGTATGAATGATCATGTAGATCAGACGCGTGGAAAATACGCGGGTAAGGACGCGTTGAGTGATTCATTTAATGCCCCACTTTCGTGTGTGCTTCTTCCCCTCTTCTACCTAAGGCAACAAGAGATTTCCCAAAATGAGCGATTACTACATAGTCCGGATTAACATGATAACACCGACATTTCACATGTCCTAAGTGGCAAACTACAACCTCTTTTTGTCTCTTTTCTTTTCTTGTTGTTGTTAACGTTGCATTATATCAGTACCAATAAATGTTAAGGTTGAACGTGGCCTTAAAAAAAGGTTAGTGTACTATACATTGATTGTTCTTTGAGCAAATAGCAATCATAATTTGCTAGGATTAAAACAGTAAGTTAACATTCTGTAGAAAGTACCCCACGGCATTACACCCAAGTTTCCACTTTAATGGTAAGCCTGTGCCCCACTCATTCCACGGCATAGTAACCTTTCTAATACAGCAAACCCTACCAGGTCATAACTGCAAGTTGCGAAGATAGTTCCAATAAAGTCTAGCTTTCAATCAGTCTCGTCGCTTGAATCTAGCCACTGCTCTTATATAGGGAAAGCACTATCTTCTTTGCTATCCCCACAACATGGCTTCTTGCGGACATGTAATTTCCCACGGTTAGTTAGCTACCAACAACAATCCTCAGTGATAGCCTTCGTTAATATCTTTCATGCTGCAGATCTAAAACCCCCATCTCCCTCACAGGCTGTATATCGAGAAGATTGCACACAGTGCTTCGACTCCATCGTACGTTACCTATCCCTTTGGTTCCGGAGTCCTGTGTAACCAATAGCTAGGACGATTGTGCCGGTTTGAATGTTTGCCTTACTTGCTTTAATGGCGGCTGCGCTGGGGACAGAGACCATGCGTCTCTACATTTCAAGCGTCATGGCCACCCTTTGGCATTGAACATCAAACGAACTCGAAAGAAGGTCCAGGTCAGTTGAAACGCTCGCCTATCTTATTCTACAAAGCTCTTAACTTGCCATTCTAGCGTGATGAGCCCCCACAGAAAATCTCAAAACTTGCAATAGCTGCCGAGACAGATGAAGACCGCTATGACACAACCACGCGCGTTATCTGTTATTCATGCGGCAAAGACGAGATTGATGAGACGAGTGGTGGATTAGCGATGGTCATTGATGGCGTCCTGAATGCGATGTCATTCTCAAAGCGAGAGGAGGTAAAGGCCTGGGAGCAGGAGTTCGTTCCTTGTGAACACACCCTCTGCCTAAATCAGCATGATTCCAGACATATCGGATCGAAAGGTATTTCCCAGAGACCCAGTTTATTCGATACTATTCTTACCTGGGTGTCCAGATCTGAGCCAGTGTTCCATGTGTGATTTGAAGGAGAATCTTTGGCTTTGCTTGGAATGTGGCAATCTTGGCTGCGGGCGTAGCCAATTTGGTGGCATAGGTGGAAACTCCCACGCCCTTGCACACGCTGACCTAACATGCCATGCGATCGCCGTCAAACTCGGTTCGATAACAGCAGATGGCTCTGCTGACATCTACTGCTACAAGTGCAACGAGGAGAGGACTGACCCTGACCTAGCCGTTCACCTTGCTCATTGGGGAATTAACCTAGCGGGGCGTGAGAAAACAGAAAAAAGCCTGATGGAGATGCAGGTTGAACACAACCTAAAATGGGAATTTTCAATGACGTCTGAGGACGGTCATGAACTTAGCCCAGTATTCGGGCCAGGATTTACTGGTTTAGCCAATCTAGGGAATAGCTGCTACCTATCAAGCGTCATTCAGTGCCTATTCGACTTGCCAGAATTTCAACAAAGATACCGCCATGAGAACGAAGAGCCGCCGCTCACAGACTCCCCCGCGGAGGACCTTGAAACGCAACTGCGCAAACTCGCAGATGGTATTCTGTCGGGCCGTTACTCGCGAGCTGATATGGATGTCATTGTCGCGCGCGACTCTCCAGATGTCCCTCTCCAGAAAGGCCTAGTGCCTGCGATGTTTAAGCATCTTGTCGGTCGTGGCCACGAAGAATTCTCAACAATGAAACAGCAGGATGCA